ATCCGCCGCCGACAGCAGGGTCTCTTTGCCCCTCCGCCCCCGGCCAACACTGCCAACGGCCCCGCGGGAAGCGAACCCCTGGAGTTCGGCTACAGCTTCGACGTCGGCATCCGCGCCTTCTTCCCCGTCTACGTGCTGTTGTATGTGGTTCAGTTCCTCTTCATGCCCGCCCTGGCGCACCGGAACCTGGCCTCGACCTTCTTCGCCAACACGCTCTACCTCGCTGCGTATGTGTATTGGACGGTGATTATCTTCCTGGGCTATAATTCACTGCATTTCTTGCATCATACGGAGTGGCTGTTGACGCCGTTGGTCGCGTGGTTGGTGCTGTGGCTGGTGGCTACGGTGGGTGGGTTCAACATGGCAATGCATGTAGGGGATTGGCTCTTTTGGGGGGTCAAGAAGGCGTGAGAGGATAGAGCAGCTGGGGTATCATGATTACCTCTATACATTGGGGATGGGTCTGGAAGCTCAGAGCATCTCTCGAATCCTCCATGTGACAGAGCCGCTGTCTACAGAAAAGATCCGAAATTTCCTCCCGTCAAACCGACCAACGGCCCGCTAAGCAGCCATGCAATAGAAAACATACGCGCTAAATTGCTCAGAGGTATTCTGCAACCACGGGTGACACCGTCAAAGTTCTTCCAACCTCTTGCAGGCGTTTTCTCCTTTGCTCAAAACAATCATAATTCGCAGCCAAACACGGGTCCAGAATTGAGAAGGTTGCGTTGTGGTTTACGGACGGGTTGAAGAGCTCCATTGAGACCTTCATCTTTTTTGTGAGCGTTGCAAAGGTGGCTCTGACATGCTGGATAGCTACAACCTGCCTACCAAGATCGTTTACTGCGTTGGCAGGGTCTTGAAGACACATAAGATATGGGCGCTGGGGGTCGACCAATTCGATTCTTTTGCGGTTAATGGTAGGGTCAATATAAGTCTCATCAGCTCCGGTAGTGGCTATATTGTCAATTGTTATATCTCTGATGAGATGTTGCCTGGAGGATAGCCTGGTTTGGTTACTGGCAGAGAGTTTGGAGAAGAGTTCGGCGGGTTCGACTGAGATACCGGTGGTTCTGCAATCTATTTTGGAGTAGAAGTCGAAGAAGTAAAGCAGCTGTCTTCCAGCATCTAAACGATCGAAGCGTAAGCTGCTGAATCTCAGCGCCGCGACGATCATGATGATCAGTGGGTACGAGCCGATGCCGTAGCTTCGAGGGTCTCCTAGGCCGCGCATCTTGAGTACCTGCCTTAGTACGAGGAAGAGAGGACGAAGAGTAGGGTATTCTTGCATATAGTCTTTTACCAGTTCCATGCTCACGAAACTGTCGGTCGTGCATTGTATCTGGACGTCTAGACCTGTCTTGTTGTGCTGGGCGGTAACGATCGGGACCTTGGCTTCGATCAGGGCAGTTTTGTCGAAAGCAGGTTTCGGGCCGCCTCTCTTCCTGACGCTGCGTCTGACCTGACCAAGTAGGCCAATTACTTGCTTTCGTACCAGCGGATCACTGTAGCACAGGACAGGCGCGCCTTTAGCTCCGATACCCACCACGTTTGGATGCTGGAGATTAAGATCGATATCGGAAAGAGCCATTGCCAGCCCGGTGCCTCGGGAGCCTATCACAAATGTCTTAATGGCAGGATCGACAGCTTCGATGCTTCGCCGGACATCAATCAAAGCCTTCTCCACTGCGGCTTTCTCCGATGCGGTTGGCTCCATGTATCTCTCGAATGCTAAGATCTCCGCCGTAAGGTAGTCGTAGACATATCTGGTACTCTTGCCCACTGGATCGAGATGAGCCATCCATGGTCTCTTTCCTCGGAGAGGAATATCAGATTTTGGCAGTTTCCATTCCTTTTTGGGCATTTGGCTGAAAGCTTGGTATTCTATCTCGACAGAGTTGTTGCCCTTTGGCTTGTTTTTGTGCTCTGTTCCCAACCCGCCGTCAGGGTCCTGCGCAGGCTCCTCCTCTCTCCCGCGCGCTGCATGGGTTGCCTCATCCTTCAGCTTCTTCTCCTCCTTCTTCTGTCTAAGAGCTAAGACAAGTCTTGCGGCTTCTCGTCCGCTCTTGACAGTACGTGCTGTCTTGCGGATTGGAGGTGCGCGGTTGGCATCGCGGTGGGCTTCAAGCGTTGCCGAAAGGCTTTCAGGCACGACCCAGGGTTCTGCTTTGATGCTGGACGGCGAGGATTGTACGCTCGAATGGCTACTTCTGTGCGATGACCAATGTTTAAGGAAGTAGGGGTAGGTAGCAGAGCTTTGAGGGAGCAGACAGGAATCATTGCTAGCAAGGATTGCGAACGGTAGCCGCCATTGGCGTCGTAATTCAACCCAGAATTGTCTGGTTCCTGCTGCAGGGAGCTCCACCGGTGGCATCTAGCATAGAGAATAGACTAAAGGGAGTATCTCGTCGATGGTGTATGCAGGAGAATGTTTCCCTGGCCTGAATACGTGGGAATAATATTGATCCGGACCGAGCTGCGCTCTCCTGTAACAGCCAATCGGAGTCGCTGCAGGCCACTGTCTGCTGTAGTGCAGTGCTTGGGATCGGAGGACTCAGCAGCAGTGGAATCACGAAACTTCTCTGGTGACAACCGGCTAACTTCGCTCTATGCTGCATTTCCGTCCTCCTGGACCTTCTCGTGTGTGACTACTGAGTCTCTGCCTCGTGATCATTGTCATCGCGACTTCAAATGATGTCCATGCAGAGAAAAGCCAGAATTGCTTTCAGGGCTCTGTGCCCGCCTTGAGTTAGTTTGTACAATTGGCATCTGCATTCTCAAAGGAGCGTGTTGCTATTGAGGCATAGGGTGAGCGGCACAGAAGGTGGTTTCGTTGTCTAGCAGCACCTGCCCTTCCGCCTTATCGGCATCTCTCGTCCCTGGTTGCTCCGGTGCATTGGTTGAGGTAATTACGTCGTCGTACCTTCGCCGGCAAGGTCGACACCCTAGGCAGCATCACCTTAGAGGCATCACCTTAGAGAGCATCACCTCCCGCGTCGATTGCTACTTCACGCCTCTTCGGTACATCCTTATCTCTGCACTCACAAAACGGACAACTCCCAGTCGACACAGTCGCCGCACAGTATGACTAACTCAAGAGATAAGAATCCAGCCCGGCACTACTCGGTATTAAGTAACGCAGTTACACCGGATGTGTCTGTCCCTGGCGCATCTGCATATGACAATCCTGACACAACACAATGCAATACCACTTCTTACTTTGCGCCCAGGCCGGCCGCCATTTCTGTTGTCGCAGAGCCGGAGGGATTGGATGATCCGGTAGCTATAGCTGCTAAAGGTGCTAGAAGCCCAGCAGAGCTGCTCCGGCGTATGAGTCTGATTGGTCACTCGCAAAGCGAATCCTTCGACTTTGATCCGCGGGAACAATATCCAAGCCTTGAATTGACCGGGAACGTCATCAGTGCTACCTTCTGTATCCCGTATAAAGTTGGCTTGACAGCCGACGGTGGATGGGATCTTCAATCACGCCGTGGTACTTCGGCTCTCTTCGACTCATTCACATATCTCTCGTCCCCTAAAACACCATGGAAACACACACTTCTTGGTTGGACAGGTGAGATCCAACCCCTCCCGGAGTCTCCTGTACAACCAGATACGCCTGCCTCGACAGAGCGGGACGGAACACTGAAGCGGACCGACACTGGCGGATCATGGCAAAGCATTTCAAAGCCGCTGAGCAAAGGCTCGGCATCGAATCCAGTCTTTTCACAATCCAATTCTCAAGGCAATCCGTCTGGCGATGGCATCAACGTAACCAAGAAAGATCGTCAACGTCTGGAATCATTGCTGCGCCGAGACAAGAACGGACTGATAATGCCTGTCTGGCTTTCGGACACTCCGGAAGACGCTAAGTCTGATCTGTATCTGAAAGACCAGAATCGGTGGAGGATGTATGCAGAGCACGAACTTTACACCTTGTTCCATTACAGACAGCACGCCCCGAACGACGGCCGGGCGGAGCGAAGGTGGTGGATCGACTACGTTCGCATGAATCAACTGTTCGCTGATCGCATACTCGAAGTCTACCGAGCGGGTGATATCGTTTGGGTACATGATTACCATCTAATGCTACTGCCACACATGCTACGCCAGAGGATACCTAATGTGTACGTGGGTTTCTTTCTGCATATTCCCTTCCCTAGCAGTGAATATCTCAGGTGCTTGCCAAAGCGAAAGGAGGTACTAGAAGGATGTCTGGGCGCCACCATGATCGCTTTTCAGTCCTTCAGCTATTCACGTCACTTCTCGTCTTGCTGCGAGCGCATACTGGGCTTTGAGTCTAGTTCAGCTGGTGTAGATGCCTATGGTGCCCACGTTGCCATCGACGTGTTTCCTATTGGAATCAATGTGGAGGCAGTGCAAAAGGCTGCGTTCAACGATCCATCCATTGACAAGACCATTTCAGCCATCAGACAAATGTATGGTGACAAGAAGATTATTGTCGGTCGCGATCGCTTGGACACAGTCAGAGGTGTTGCGCAGAAATTGATGGCTTTTGAGATCTTCTTAGAACGCTATCCTGCATGGAGAGACAAGGTTGTTCTCATCCAGGTCACCAGCCCAACCAGCGTCGAGGAAGAGCAAGAAGATCCGCAGCACAAGATCGAGCACAAAATCTCTGACTTGGTCTCCAAGATCAACGGCCAGTACGGCTCACTCAGTCACTCTCCTGTGCAGCACTATCCTCAATATCTATCAAAGCAAGAATATTTTGCCCTTTTACGAATCGCCGACGTTGGCCTGATCACAAGCGTACGTGATGGCATGAATACTACAAGTCTCGAGTATGTGCTCTGTCAGAAAGACCACCATGGACCTCTAATTTTGTCCGAGTTCTCGGGCACTGCTGGAAGTCTCCGTCATGCGATCCACATCAACCCATGGAACCTTGTGGGTGTTGCGGATGTTATCAAAGACGCCCTCGAGATGTCACCCAAAGATCGCTATATGTCACAAAGAAAGCTGTACGAGCAAGTCACGACGCATCCAGTATCACGATGGAGTAACAGCTTTCTTAAACGTCTCTTGACGAACCTGGCATCAAACAACCAGAATACTCTGACCCCTGCGCTGGACCGCCATGTGTTAAGACCGCAGTACTTCAAAGCAAAGCGACGCCTGTTCATGTTTGACTACGACGGCACACTCACCCCCATCGTCAAAGATCCCACGGCTGCTATTCCTTCGGATAAGGTTCTGCGCACCATAAAATCGCTGGCGCAGAACCCAAAGAACGCAGTATGGCTTATTAGCGGACGAGATCAACAATTTCTTGATGATTGGATGGGACACATTCCAGAACTGGGCCTGAGTGCAGAACATGGATGCTTTGTTCGGCCGCCACGGAGCGAGGTGTGGGAGAATCTCACCGAAAAGACCGACATGAAGTGGCAGACGGAGGTTATGAGAACGTATCAGCGATACACGGACATCACGCCTGGTTCGTTCATTGAGCGCAAGCGGGTTGCGTTGACATGGCACTATCGACGAGCCGACCCGGATTTGGGCAAATTCCACGCAGAGCAATGTAAGAAAGACCTGGAGGATAGCGTGGCCAAGAAATTCGATGTCGAGGTCATGTCCGGTAAAGCAAACCTGGAGGTGAGGCCTCAATTTGTCAACAAAGGATACATTGCCACCCGTCTCGTTAGTGAGTACGGTACGGAGGAGGGAAGGCCGCCGGATTTCGTTTTCTGTGCGGGAGACGACTTTACCGACGAAGGTATGGAAGAAAAAGAGTCTTGAGATGATTCCTGCTAACGCTGCTTCTAGATATGTTCCGTGCGCTATTAAGATCCAACCTGCCGAAAGACCAGGTTTTTGCTGTCACTGTCGGAGCCAGTTCGAAAAAGACGTTGGCATCATGGCACCTGTTGGAGCCGCGGGATGTCATCGCAGCAATCACATCTCTCATCGCCGCTGATGAAGACGACCAGATCTTGGACAGAACCTTTCGAGGTATTTCATCGAAAGCAGGCAGATGTGTGAATGAATCTCTGACATTGACAGATCTATCGACAATGCCCCCGAAAGAAGCTACCCCTCCCAAGGGCACGGACAAGGAAAGCTTGCCGAAATTGGAAGGAAAGGACGAAAAGTAGAGAGAGGAACACGCACAGACCGGGATGATGAGAACGGACAAGACGACGATGAATCAACAAAAGTCTTCAGGAGAGGAAGCGAAGAGAGAGAGAGGTGGATGAGAGATGGAATTAGAACCAATCAGTAGATACATTTTTAGATTAGAAACTTCCCCCTAAGAAACAACTTTGAAATTCATCATTTCAAAAAGACTCGTAAATCCTTTATTATCTGTTACAAAAAAAGGAAGAAACTTACTTTTCTTACAAACTTATAACCTAAGAAAGACTCCTAGAGGTCCTGTAGGATCTCGATTCATATTCACGTCTTGATTAATTTGTTAAATTATTTTACAGTTGCAAATGTGCATGCAAATTGTCCAAAGTTCTTCGCCCTTTCCGGCGGGTTGACGATTCTGTAGTTCTTCTGAGCGACACTTTCTCGTCGCATACTCCCGAGTCTTCCATGGAACCACGCAATCTATGCGTTTACAGGTTTCCTGGTTCTCAATTTGCCATTGCAACGACGACAAGCTCTTTGTCTAGCAGTGTAGAAGCCAGGTCATTTCGTCGACCATCTCGAGTCATGGTCGTCGTCGCGTCGTGAGTTGAACCGGTGACAGCATGTCTCTATTGATTGACTTTCGAATCGAGCGACCGCCAGAACATGGTCTCCGCAGCTGTTCGCTTTGGCCACAGTATGACGAGTGTCGAAGGTTGACGGAAAGCCATACTTAGCGCGTCAATTTCAATCTGTTGCCATAAGTTAGATCCATCCTTTCACTTCTTGTTCCGAACATGATCCTTGGTACACGGCGTTCCATCTTGGGCTATCTTGGTAGCTGTCAAGCTGATCGGATCCTGCGGTTGAGCGAGGCCACTACTTATGGGCTCATAATAGAGCCGCTGTGGATGGCAGGCAAACAGCAGCACCCTCCACGTAGCTTTCAGGTTTGATGGATCTTCGATGGTGGTCATCAATAACCAAGGACTTACCTTTTTGAAAGCATTTCCCATCAGCATTGCGATACAGGCAAATGATGTGTCGGCGGTTTCTGCATTCACACGGGTCAAAGTAGAACTATGCGGGTTGGTTCAGGTGGTGCATGAGCCCAGAGCTGAGCGACCCTGAGGGATTGAAACGTCGTCTCTATGTGATGGATTCAAGCTCAGGTCTTTCTAGACTTGGCCTCTTTTATTTTAAGAGTTCAAAAGCGTGCTAGAGATTCTGAATGGGTGTGGAGATTCCTGCGAGTTTGACAGTGCTGCCTCTTCATTCGGACTATTCGCCTTGCTCAAAAGATCCTGGACATGCATCCTATCGAGATGTGTGGTCCTCCGAGGGCCGCGGTCCTTCTGGTCCAACAAGATGTGACCGAAGAACAATCACTAATCGCTCGTGTTCTTGGGACCAGGTCGCATGTGGAGGGTGAAGGCAAGATCAAGTCGCCCAGCACACGAAAGCTTCTGGTACTGTTCCGCGGCCTTGGAATGCTCGAACCAAAATCGCCAGAATCTAATGCATTGCCATTTTCCGGTGGATGGTACGGAGTAGACCGACATCATTCTATCCTGCAGCTAGTTGCTAATCGCAGGAACTAGTCGAATATGAAACGCCTCGTCTGGGCCAGGTTGTATCGAAAACGTACTATCTGAATTTATATGAGAGGGAAAGGTAGTGAAGTTGCTGTAGCTGGCAAATTTCGATCCATAAAGACCGTCCCAAAATATCGTAGGATTTATCGGTGTACAATATAAATTAAATAACTAGACACATATTATCTGAACTGACACTTTGGCCGAGTGGTTAAGGCGCTGCCCTGCTAGTCTTCACACAAGAAGAAAGTTGAGGCAGTGGGTTCGCCCACGTAGGTTCGAATCCTGCAGGTGTCGTTCCACACAAGTTTTTGGCAATATTGTTTTCTGTTTTCTTCGTTGTTTTATTGTGTGTACATGGACGTGTAGAAACTCTTCCGGTAATAATAGCCAGGTGCTCAAGTTGCTTGAAGCGCTCATGACTGGTCAAGTCAAGTGCAGGATTGACGTAATTCATCACTAAATGAAAACTAACTTAGTTAGGCTACCACATATTATGCACTTTTTGGCCCATTGCCCTAACATTTTCAAATCTACACAGGGTCATCCATCAGTTGTTACTGCTTTTGGCTAATACTTGAAACAAGATAGATGGAGTTGCGCGTAGACTATTTAGGTGGTCAAATGGCTATATAAACGTTGTGCGAGTCGTGCCCTACGTCCGGACCGTAGAGACAACGAAAATGCCTCCTCTTGAGTCTATTACTGGAAGCCCTAAACAAAAACTCCAGCCCCAGCTTCTGGAGTCCAAGCCCAGCAATATCATAAGAGGAATTTCCAGAAACAGACCCTCCCGGCTAGCAAGAGACCAAACTCTATGATCAGACTTGGCCTAGCCACCTGCTCAGCATGTGAAAGCTGAATAAAGGACGACATAGCCACAGCTCAGGCCGGCTCAGTCAAAGATCAGGTTAAAACAGCAACTGATCAGGTCAAGAAACGAAACAGGCACTTGGGGAGGTCGATTTTGACGATTGGTTTTTGGTCAATCACTTGAGCTGGGCGGTGAGTTCACAATAGAGAGATGATCTTGATGGGAGCACATTCGTCAGCTACACATCGTTTTGTTCGCTCTCGGCCTCAGTGCCTTCATGCTGAGGAATCGCTGCCTCATCCAGGCTTCTCAGATACTCTTGTCTATGGTCTAGCTTCGACTCAAGATCTATTCTGCGTCCTGATGCCAGAACGATGAAGCCTCCTCGTACGGCAAGTCCTCGCAAAAACGTGGTTGGATATGTTGCAGATAAAGATTATAGAAGCCTTTCGTAGAGGCAAGCGCGTGGAAGTACCAGAACCATCCGAGTTGCCAGCTTCTCTGCATCATTTGCGCCCGGCCAAACCTTTCTCTTCCGAACTGCTCCTTTTCTAGTTATATCGTCATGAACTCATCGCGCACAAGACCAAACCCTTCAAGCTCGTTTCCGGTCAAGTTATCCACGTCCTGCCCTGTCATCCAGTACGGCAGTTGCTGCATCTCAACTGGGAGAGAACAAGCCCACTCCAAATCAATCAAGGAGGTGATATGCCAGGTGGAAGGCACAAGGTCGAGAAACTCGTCTTCCCTGTCGAGGAGAGAAACACAGAATTTGATCCTCAGTTGCGGGTAGCTTAGCTGCTGAAGGATGTCGTCCTCCTCCTCTTACGCCTCCGCAAGCATTATCTACCAGCCCAGAAGTCTCAGACAGAGCTCAGGGTCGGCCATGCTGCTCATATGTTGGAGCTGTAACAGATGGAGGTGGCAGGCGGGAAAGGCTGATTCCCTAGAAACCGAGGGTGAGTGCTCACCACAACTCCCGCTCGAACCGCGCAGCTCCAGGCGGCGTCACCCTTGGCCCGAAGGCCGGAGCCATGTGACAGAGATTATGAGACTTTCGCCAACCGCTCTTTCCCTTATATCAACTAAATAGGCACACTTCCTTTCTGAGAATCCAATTTTGGTGAGATTTTAAAAATTTTGATGTTCCCCTTGCCAAGACTGCAGCAGAATTTTAACGCTAAGTCGCGGGTACACTAACGTACCAAACTGTCTGCCCCACCATATGGAGGATAAGGCCCGGAGGCCGAATATTCAATCGCTGCTTCATAAAGCTCAAAAATAGTCTCTGTGAGATTGGGACCAGGCGAACCCAAAGAATTAACTTCTCGCTTGATGCTTAATCGCTGTTTTTACTGTTTACACTTATTATCGCCCTTAACTCGGGTCCCAGGGAAGTTATCGTTATCCTTTAAAAGTATCTAACGTACTCTAAAGAGCACCCGGAGATGCACTGCCCAACCCCCGAGTTACACCACTGCATCATCCAATCAAAACCGAAGACATTTAACGACCTGCATGCACCTCACATCATTATGAATTCTTATAAAGCTGAAAATTATTGATGCTAAAGCTCTAATCTATCTGAAAAAAAGTTCTAAGGCTCTCTGAGTGGGGACCACAGATATCAATTGAGCGCTGATCTGGTTCTACTCTAATATCTACCGGTGATAACCTTCTCGGCAGTGGGCAATATCTCTGTCCTCAATTCCCCACTCTCCCACCTACGGAGGAGCTTGAAGTCTCCAACTACCAACCAGTGATCATGACCAAGCAAGTGGACGAAAAAGAAATTGGAGAAGCTTTGGGTAGAAGCAATGAACTCATCACCCGTTGTGGGGACGATGGGGTCATGGTTCACCATTTCTCCAACTCACCAGTCACTTTTTTCAGCATGGCCGGTCAAACCCCCAAAAATGCCCCATTGGATTTTTCTTATCATCGCAGTTTTCAACCACTTGATTCGCTTTCGCCGTTACTTGTTGCTTTATCTTGTACGTGGCGTGGCACGTAGGCCCGGCATGGCATGGGCGCGCCCTTGCTTTACATTTTCCCCACCATGCTATGAGGAGACGTGCTACGTTAGTGCGATGTGACGAGATGAGATCGGGTGTATATACATAGTGATGTCGATCTGTCTTTGTACCCGGTTTACCTTGAGCCTTCCTCTTCCCGACTGCGGTTGGGTTGGCCACACTTGGCCTGGTTCGAGAAACTGTCCAATATGGAGGAGAATGATCATCAAGACCCTTCCCCTTCGGATGACTCCTCACTCGCCTCAACGATCATGTCTTTGCCCGCCATGGCCAAGAAAGAGTCCGAGTGCGAGTGTGACCGTGACCACGACCACGACCATAGCTTCGACACCGACTTCGATATCGACATCGACATAGAACGACAAGGAAGCTCATATCGCGCTCCATCCCTGCATGCTCTCCCCATCAAAGACCCCCCTCAACTCAACAGCACCAACGGAGGCCCTCTCACCACTCTCTCCCACACCCTTTCTCTCGTCCGCACCAAAGACACCGGAACCGACCCGGGCCCCCCTCCCGACGGCGGCGTCCAAGCCTGGACCCAAGCCATCCTCGTGCACCTCGTCATCTTCAACACGTGGGGCTACGTCAACTCCTTCGGCCTCTTCCAAACCTACTACACTTCGACCCTGTTCCTGTCCCCCAGCGCCGTCCCATGGATCGGGTCCTTCCAGATCTTCCTCCTCTTCTTCATCGGCGCCTTCTCCGGCCGCGCCACCGACGCGGGCTTCTTCGAAGCGAGCTTCATCGCCGGCTCGGCGCTGCAGCTGGTCGGCGTGTTCACCACGAGCGTATGCACACAGTACTGGCAACTCTTCCTCGCGCAGGGGATCTGCACCGGAATGGGGAACGGGCTGGTGTTCGTACCGAGCATGTCGTTGGCGAGTGTGTATTTCCTCAAGAACCGCTCATTGGCGATTGGGTTCTGTGCATCGGGCTCCGCGACCGGGGGGCTTGTCTTCCCCGCAATGGCCGAACGACTGCTCCCTCGTGTGGGATTCGCATGGACGGTACGCGCGATCGGCTTCGTCATGTTGTCCACCATGGTCCTCTGCGCTGTCTTTCTCCAACCACGCCTGCCACCACGGAGATCCGGTCCCATCGTCGAATGGTCTGCTTTCCGCGAGAGACCTTACGCGCTATTCAGCTTCGCCATGTTCTTCATCTTCTGGGGCATATACATTGGCTTTTACTTCGTCGGCAGTTTTGGCAGAGATGAATTAGGTGTCTCGCAGAGTACGGCGATCCAGCTTCTTCTGGTGATGAACGGCGTTGGGTTGCTCGGCCGGCTGATACCAAATTACTACGCTGACAAGAGCATCGGACCGCTCAACGCCATTATCCCTTTCGCCGCTATCTCCTGTCTGCTGCTCTATTGCTGGGTCGCGGTTCATTCTGTGGCCGGGCTGTGGGCCTTCGCCATCGCGTACGGTATCTTTGCCGCGGGGATTCAGTCGCTCTTTCCAGCGACCTTGACGAGTTTGACCAGTGATCCGAAAAGAGCAGGCGTGCGCATGGGTATGGTGTTCAGCGTGGTCAGTTTTGCCGTCTTGACCGGACCACCGATTGCGGGCGCGTTGATCTCCCTGGCTGGAGGCAGATATGTATATGCGCAGATCTTCGCCGGCTCGTCGATGGTGGCGGGTGTAGCTACGCTTGTTGCTGCTCGGGTGGCTAAGGCGGGCGCGAAGTTCAAGGTCAAGGTGTGAGAGTGGGAAAGATCGGTGCTTGAACCGTGGTATCAAGGGCTGCCTGCTCCGTGCGCAGTGTGTCTCAATGGCTATGCCCAGCAGGGCCTGCCGCAACGGAAACGGGAATGGTCTGGTCCATTCATTCGAGAGCAATCTGCAGCGCCGGCGGGAAGGCCCACCAACCAAGCAAAGCCAGCATGCGGCTGTCCTCGCATTGCAAGCACCTGCCTTCTTAACTGCCATTCTCGGGTCATGAAAGCAGTATGCAACACACTCTAGCCGAGAAAACGAGCGATAGCACTCTGCTTCTTCCACAAATGAGCTAGGAATGTGAGACTGGCACGCCACGCCGAAGGCCCAGCAAGACTGGCTCTCCAACAAAATCCGCCTGTCTCCCCGGTCTTCGTTTTTAAAGCGTGTCAAGCTTTACCAGGAACTCAGATTCGAAGCCATATCTAGCAACAACTCCGACACCATCAAAAGCTCATAGTCCGTGGTAACTAGCGGGAGCAAAGGGGGTGGCTCATCAGGACAGGAACGAAGAAGACGTCGCCGGTTGCTTTTTTTTCTTTCGTGAAATCTGACGTAACAATACCGGAACTATATTTAGATATGAAGAGAGAAGCACTGAACACGTGAGGAAGCATCGGGGTGTGTCTTTGGTTTTATTTGTATAGAATATGTGACGGGGAATAGAGCGAGTTGTCTCTCTACACCCAGGTCAGCGGATGGTGGATAAGATATCATATACAGTAATGAACGTGGCGGATATAGAGTAATGCGCACATATCGATTCGGATTGGATTTCAATGCCTTGAAATTGGTGCGCTGATGATGACGATGATGATGATGACGACGACGATGATGATGAGACTGTCGTATGCATCACCTCTGTGCTTTACATTTCAATGATCAACCAGTTAGCTCATATTGATACAGCTTGCGCTTCCACTCCTGGATTGTGCGTTGCGGAATGCCCGTTTTCTCGCTGATCTCGCGGACCGGCACCTTCTGCGCCACGTACTCAAAGACGGTGGAGCGGGCTTCTTGGGTCCATTTATTCCTCTGCCTGTGTCGTGGTGGACGTGAGTCTGCTCCGTCAGCCGTCTGCGTCATCTTTGCATCTAAGGTTAGCAACTATTATAGAGACAATTAGCATGATTTATCCAAGTTCGTGCAGATCGATGGCCTCCAGAAACCGTCTATTAGTAAATCTCAACATCTTCTACGAGAATGGGGGGCCTAGCAGTGCTCACCTCAGATCTACCGGCGTCAGCGGCGCGTGCACCTGTCGTAGCACCTCTCGCACAACCCGGCCCGGCATTGCTCCGTCTACCAGCATCCTGCGGTCTGGCATGTCTGATCTGCCTGGCAGGAGTTGTGGGTGGGGCACCAGTGGTCGGTCCGCCTCTTCTGCTTGACGAAGGACCTGCGCTTTCGAATGCATCAACGAAAGGGTCTCTGCCAAACGTGCGGCCAGTGATTCGCCTAGGGTGAGCAGCTGCTGCTCCGCCTGGCGCCGGGCGGGTTCCGGGGTCACCCTCCTCGTTCTTTTGGGGTGCCTCTTTGGTCTTCAAGCTCGGCTTGGTTAGAGGCTGAGTGCCCAGCCTCCGGTTAGCATATCTAGACTTGCGTGTTCCCCAAGCAAGTCCTGGTCCTGTTTGTGCGGCTCGTCCTTCAAGTGGAGGTGCTGCTGCCACTGGTGCTTCTTTCGCAAGTTGTGTGAGCCCAAGCATCGCCCCCGTCTCCGAGGACAGGGCCTGTCCTTCGCATTCTGCTGACCGTCGATCTGGCAGGGGATCTCTTTCCTGCGCAGCGGTCGATAATGCATTGGCATGAGGTGTAAGGCCTTCAACTCTGGCTGCTTTAGCCCTTTGCTGCAGCTCTGGATCTTGAGGCCTTCGTAAATTTGAGGCTGAGCTCACGCTACGACGGATCCGACGTGTTGAGACACGTGGTGGCTTCGATGAATTTGCTTGCCTAGCCCCGGGCGGCCAAAGACTAAGCTGCTGAGAAGCTGCGAATGCTGACAGTGTTAGACTTATCCCAGTTGCTCCAGATCTGTCATGCTTTGACTGATTCGAGGTGAACCGTTGGGACCCAGGCAGGGCTTGTGCTTCGTGGGGTCCTTGAACACTTTTGTCTCCCCCTGCTGACGATTGTGATGTTGATGGTTGTGCTTGTGCAGCTTCGTGTGGACGAGCCCTCAACTGAAAGGGTCCTAGTCCTATTAAGCTCTCGCGCGTAGCTGTACTTGGGCGCGTAGCTGTACTTGGTGGCTCCCTCAATGGCAAAGTGTCGTTTCTGCCACCTCTGGGAGGGTTTTGTAGTGAGTGGCGTCCTCGATCTCTTTCAGACATGATTAAGAACTTGCGTACTCAAGGACGTAGGAATATATTAGTGAGATGTGTCAGCGGAAAGGTCAGAGAGTCCTTCTGTGACCGTATCACACACCACGAACATCGGAACGAGTATTGGTGAACTGTTAAGCCCCAACCAGCAATATGTTCTCCTGGAAAAAGAAGTAAAACAAGAAACAATACTTTGATCCTACCAATTCCAGCCTTAGCCTGGCACAGACTCATGGCTATCTGAAGTCTGCAGTCCTGAGACTGACGTAAAACACATTGTTTGCAACATAAAACATTTCACTGAGCTCGGATGCTCAGACCAGAGTGCATCCGGACTGAGTTAGTGCAGATGTAAGTGGGTCAGTGTATAGTGTGGTGAACAATGAAACAAAATTGGTATCAGAGCATGGATACGATTCTGTTCTGCGGAGCTGCACAGGCTGTAAAGAGCGACTTTGGCCACGTGACAGCTGCAGTAAGTGAAGTCCTGGGATTAAGATCACTCTCTAAAAAGAACATTTCAGATACCTATGGTGAACCAGAGTAACGGGACGTCCAAAGGGAGACGTTGGTCGGTGCTGCTTTCGCTTGCTAGCTACTTGATATTTATTTACAAGCTGTTTTGGCCATTGGCGCTTGCGACTACATATAATCGTAGCAGACCTACTCCATGCCAACAGATTTGGTGAAGACCAGTCGCTGTATTGGAATAAGCAGCATACATGGTATTTATCGAAGGGTAGCAGCTAGATAATACCATGGTGTTTCGTAATGTCTTCACCTAGACTAAGCTGCAAGGGCCGTTTCGTTGCGTTTCGACAAATGCTGGCGTTCCCATCGTTTGCCCAACGCTACTGGAATGAAAGTGTTGGGACGATACCGACCAGGGCAGCAAGCACGTTGGACATAACAGATAACTGAAGCATACATGCAACTCTACAGCACCTTCAATCTTCAATGAGAGCTCCAAAAACCAGTGTCAAATAGTAGACACGCCCAATCAACAAGTCTGCATCTCCCGTACCCATTCTTCGATACGTTCATAGAGCTCCTTCAGCGAGACTTTGTCACTTGCGCTCACTGCTAGGCCAGTAAAGGAGCGCGATGTCTTGAGATCAGAGCACCAAGCAAGAGTAATCATCTCGCCTGTACGCAACTCTTTGTTGAAGGCTGCGTTGAAATTGGTTCGACTGGCGAAGGATTCCATTCATGGCAAGACGCACGCTTCATCCATTGCAAGCTCAATTGCGAAGTGGGGAGGTAAGCACCCAAGGACAAAACTCCCAGTATGACGTGGATTAAGGTCGACGACATAATGTCTGCCGACCTCGTCGGTCATTACATCAATGCCAGCAGGACCATGGTAGCCGCGTGAACAGAGAAATGTCGCCATGTTCTGCATGATCCAAGCATATAGTGCTGCCAATTGACGTTGTGTAGAGTATGTTATGGCACAGCCTTTCCAATCACCAGTCTCTGAAAGCTGTTGCTCACAACAACTTGAGAATTGAGCCAGGCTATTGTTCCTAACGTACGAGTTGATGGCAGCCGTCTTGCAAAGAAGAAACTCTGTTAAAATGAGACTGCACGGACAGAGAGGGGCATTCTCCAGGTTTGTCTTCTAGAGCTCGGAGCGTAGGAGGATTTTGATATCTTCCTCCACCGCCGCTTGATCTATTATGTTACGAAATATGTCCCCTTGCCGCCGCCAGACGAATTGAATTTAAGAAAGAATGGTCGAACACGATAGTGGATAGCGTTGATGGCTCAGGCGGCTTCATTGCTGAGAGATTCGCTATCTCAGCCTGTCTCGGGCCTGACAAAATCTACCAGCTGCGCGTTGGGCGTAGGCAGACCTGAAAGAGCCAGCACTCTTTTCGTGAGCAGTTCGTAGTGGTCATCCGGATCGGTGTGATGTGGTAGGTTGGCAAGACCATCATATGGAAGATGTGGAATGCCCAGGGAATCGCCAACAGCCAGGTGGACTTGCTCTAATGATGTGCAAAAGCTCGGTTGAAATCGATAATGAGGATTGACAACAACAATGGTTTCTGCAAGATCATCTTCCAAGTTGCTTTAGATTGCCTCTGCTTCCATCTTTGAAGAAAATGACTGCCATCTCTCCGATAAACTAAGACATCCTCTGCAGCATGAAAATGAGATCTGTAATTAGAGTAAAGTGTAAGGTCATAGGAAATTGGGTTGAAAAAGATCACAGAAGTCGGTCGCCATTATAAGTGTAGAATATATGTGATCTGCTGGCAGGTATGTGGTCTTCCCTATTCGAGATGCCCGGGAGATATGTTCCATACTCAACTAATCTGCTGCATCGCTCGCAGATCTCACCAATAACGCCGTATATGTCAGATTGTCAAACAAATGCAGCTGGCACTCAGCCACCCTAGGAGATACCAGCCTCCTACTGGCTATATTAGATGCCTAGTTGCCCGCGAAGGAGCTCGAAGGAGCTCAAAGGAAGGCTAGTCAAGCAAGTCAATCCATCTGTTTAACAATACAGAATGTGGTTAGACGAGCATTGCTCACCACCTTCAACAAATCACACGTTGCGAAGTTATGCTTTTTTACTCGTTTTGGGTATAGTCGAGTTGGAACTCATATTTCGGCGGCTTCGTGTATGTTACGTGGTAACTCGAGGCGTCCTTTGGTTGGCGTTCTCCCCAGTCAATGATGAATGGTCGATTTGTTGCCCTGGCCACTTCATCTACTCACGCCATAAGAGCGGTAAGCGCTCAGAATTGACCCCTGATGAAGACGGAGGGAAAGATAAGAAGTCGTGCAAATCAGAACATGCAAGATCCTGTATGGGTTTCTTGATAACTCCTGCTTCCTTCGTGGGTCGTCTTAAATGGATATCTAAAGCAAACATTGTTTGTCAGACCCAACGCTGGCTGTGTGGTTACACAGGTTCCTGGAGCTTATGCTTATTCTAGACATGATCCCGCGCATTTTAGGCTTCTTTTGGCTGCAATGCTTTAAATGATTTGCAATTTCGCTCCAGAGGTCCTGCCTAGACTAGGAATCGTTATTCTGCATCGAGGCCAAGAGAAGGATTTTGAGGATGTCCTTTTGCGGCCTGGGATGTCTTTCATCCTCAGAATGGTTTTCTGGTAATGCCCTCAATACAACCACTGCTCCCCTGTAAGTCGTTGAAAGGACGGAGTAATGTTGAATGTGCCTCCCTTTGATAAGTCCTCGGATTTGAGCAGCTTCGTTTCCTGATAGGCGGATGGGGTGGACGGCCCAAGTTGAGTGCTTGGATCCTGCTTGGGCAGGCTTGGAAGTGTCTTGGACTATTGCGATTTACAGTCCCCGAGTGGAATAGTGGTGAATTTAGGCGTTTGTGGCGTGAAAGATGCTTAATCTTGTGCAGGTTAAGCACCATCAAAGTGGGGGTTCTAGGGTTTGAAACAGGCCATCCCTGGACATGGACACAGCCGGGTTGGGCGCTACTTTCGCCGAGGTCTTGGCTAGTCAGTTGGTGAGCAGATAGTACGTAGTACGTAGAACTAGTCCACGAGTCCCGAAAAATAGGCAACCATGTGGGAACCGGCAGGTGAGTAGCATTCGCAGCAATAACATAACCACAAGTTAGGGGCAGTGATCCAGGGGTCTCACCATGATCTGCTCTCAACGCTAACTGGAACACCGCAAGATGTCGACTACTCTGCCGGAGTGATGGAGGGGGACTGTGGATCTGGCTGACAGTAGCCAAGAATGAGTCCCTTGCCTGGCCTGGCTTGAAGCTCATTGAATCAGCTTGCCAAGTCCCACCAGATGTCTTGGTTTCTTTGGTTACCTGCCACTAAATCAAGCCTCCGTGGATCGGGGAAAGGAGGAATACGTATCCGGCTTGACGTTGGTGGGGGGCCCAGATGGCCATTGAGCGTGCATTCATGACGAGGTCACTAACGATATTTGCATGCGTAGCAGGGATGATAACTACGTACTACGTAGTATGCTCCTCGGACTTGGATTAGATTGAACAGTTACCAGCGGTCAGATTGAGCGGCTCAGCGACAAGCTGATGCTGCAAGTTTGGAGTTAATAGCTTCAGCTCCAGCTTAGGAAGTTTATCTTGCCGCCAGGACAGTACGTAGTAGTGAGGTCTGCATACCCTCAAGGGTTGAGAGTCTGAATTCAACGACGATGCTCGAACCTCTCCTGTATTCTTCGTATCAGCAAGATTGGAACGAGATGACGAATCATCAGAGGGCGGTACATGGCACAAAAACGCTTGTTCCCTTAGTTAGAAATAGGTATTTGTAGGTGGTACCGACAGCCCGGAGAGTGTGGAGAAATTAAACAACAATTTTAAGCTTGCCTTAGCTAGCCAAGATCGCGGTCACCTTCTTTCCTTGCCGCAAAGCCTAAAGCCTAAAGCCAAAATATTCATAGCGCCACTTCTTAAGCTTCCTTCGCCCTCCCCCTTCCATACCAATCCATTCCCAGCAAAAAGCCCGCCGAAATCTTGTCGCATTCCGTCTTCGCACCTTTATGCTTCTTACGCCCGCAGCGCTATCGGCCTCCGTCGAGATTCGACCACTCGATGTGCATTTGCGTTTCTTCTGAACGGTAGTACCAGCACTCTTCTGTGCGCCCTTAAGCACCAACTCTGCAGGTTAAGCTTTACCGATCTACCCCGGATATCACGACCTGTCCAGGTCACCAATCAGCAAGGCTGGATTACAACAACATGGAGACCTACAACGGTCATGTGCGCTCTCCACAAGATGCCATCATCCTCTTCGAAGCATGTCGCATCGGCATGTTACCCCGAGTGCAGAGACGACTATCGGAGAAGGAGCGGCAGTCCATCCGATCAGGCTCAGTCTTTGTCTGGGATGAGCGAGAAGCCGGCATGAGAAGATGGACAGATGGCAAGAGCTGGAGCGCCAGTCGGGTTTCAGGGAGTTTCTTGACATACAGGGAGATGGAGGGTAAGCGAGGAGGCACCGGTTTCGCACCACCAACCAAGACTCCAGAGAGCGGCCGGAATAGTGAAGACGGCGATGGAGAGGAAGGGCCAGATGGCTACAGATATAAACCTGATGGGTTGATGAAACAATCTTTCAGCATCACAACATCGACAAATCAACATCTTCATCTCATCAGCTACTACTCTCGCGCTCACCCAAACGCACCTGGCTTGCAGCAACCCTCCAATGATCCAAACCTCCGCACCGTCCGGCCAGCCAAAGGTCTGTATCCGGAGTCAACCGTGAATGACCAACAGAACGTTCCGGCTGTCACCCGCTCTCCTATGGCGGGCGCGTCACCATACACTATGCCGCCTCAGCCCCCTGCCGCCTACCCTCGTCCTGGTGCTGCACATCCGCACGGTTATGCCTACGCGCCTCAGCCTCATCCCTATCCCATAGCTGCAATGCCAAGCCCCTCAAATGGTTATGGCCCACTTGCCTTTCCCTCCGGCTACGGTCCGCCACCGTATGGTCAACCTTATCCGCTCCCTCACTATGCACCACATCCTCCGATTCCTGTCCCTCAACCACCTCCAAATTCTCTTGACCAGCGCCCCTCGCGCAGTGAGGAGTCAAGTTCAAGCTTGCCTCCACCCCCGCCACCATTAAGACCGCAGCAATCTGGCTCTAATGAGCAAGCGCAAGGACCAGCTCCTTCTCAGACCCCGCCGCAGCCTCCCGAAGGTCGATCTCCTCAACCGCCTGTGGCACCAATCGACCCCAGACTCATTGGTACTACCCTATCAGTGCCTCCTGCCCTCGCTCAGACGAATGGCAACGGATCTGTGAACAGCACCTTATCGCCAATCGAGAACAAAGAAAATCAGCCGGAATCTGTCCCGCAGGAAAATGGCGCCTCGCCTAATTCTACGAGTCAAGCTCCCCACATCGCAACCTTAGTCCATACCTCGAGTGCAGAAGAGCCCCCCACCGAAAATGGTGTTGGCACAGAAGCCAACCCCGATCGACCAGGAAGCATGAGTCCGGGCGGCACCACTAAAAAGGTTGATGGGCCTGCAGATATTCCAAGTCAGAAGCTTGCTTTTGGAGAAGATAAGAGAGCTTTGAAAGCGCTGGATAAGGTGTTCATATGAGGCTGCAATCTCGTAACACATCACAGAGCAGCACATTCCGCGATCATGGCACGACCTTACGATAGATGACTTGTGTGGGACAGGAGCTGCATATATGATGACGGCGTTCGACACCTTTTCTTCGGCCAGCTTGTACTCCTACTGCGTCAGCATCTCGTTCAAGGAGTTATTGGGCGGCCTTACTCAACTTTGGTCTTCTTACTGGTAGCGACCAGTCTGGGTTTAACGTGCTTGTGTGGGCAGGGCAGGTCTGAACCCTGCCGGACAGGGCAGTTTTGCCCGTGGAGCTTAACCCGGTGGTGGCTCTCGCAAACAGGAACCAGCGATGCCAAGCATCTGGCCGGCGTTTGTGAAGAAGAGCTGTGAAGAAGAGCTGTGAAGAAGAGCTGTGAAGGAGGGCTGTGAAGGAGAGCTGAGGTTCACGAGTTGCAAAAATCTGGATGCTTTGATCAAGTGAGAATGCCCGAGGCATGCAAATCTGCAGATGTCTAGCTCATGATATGAACGCATCAAGTCAAGATCAGTTCTTACTTTCACCAACTCTCACTGCATCATATCCGTCCTTTTGCTCGCTTTCGGGAAAGACTAGGCCAATCACATTTCTGGCTGCACTCAGGGAACTCTGTCAAAGCCCACAAGATCAATGTTGAAGTGTGGATCAGTGATAACCATTCTACTGAACAGTGTGCTGTCCAGTATCGTTAGGCTTTGGATCAAACGCAGCATCAAGTATGTGACAAGCACACTTCTACTCACAGTGACTACCAAAGTTTCCTAGTTCTCTGACACTTCAACGTCCTGGCGCCTACTCTCACCTCAGTTGGTGTGTTCAACGTGCAGGCCGAGACAGTTGCAAGCCAGAGCCCTTCTTGACAAATCTGTTAGTCTCTCCAAGGGCTCTCTTACCTACCAATACATAAAATTGACTTTGCCGCTGTTGAGACTCTTGCGCCTACTGCGGTCTGTAGCTGTGAAATACACTCCTGTTGTCAACCTCTGCATGCTTCCAGCTTTGCCGTCCACCCTGCTTAACTATCCTAGTACACAACACATCAACATGCTCTCTGCTTCTGCACCTACGGAAATCTATTGTCTGTGCAAAAGCTCAAGCTGCATTTTTAGTACGGATGTGGCAGATGTAGTTTTGCCAACCAACGTGCCTCCAACAACGTATCTGAAGCAGCCTTAACTGAAACCCATCCCCTGGCTTTGGGATGACTACTCCTATCCCTCATCTCTGCTTTTCAGCTCGAACCTAGGCAGCCTGCCCGCAACTGGGATGTTCTGCCGGATCTATATCTAATACGCTGCGAAGGAAAGCAGACTGCTTTTTTTCTTTTTTTCTTTCTTTCTTCCAGGGTATCTTCAAGATAGGCACACGCAGAAACAATCCGACACAATCACTTCCCATTTTTGGTAGAGACATGCCTAAGTTTACCCGCAGGCGCAGAGAATGATCCATTAACCCCAGATACAAATGCCCCCAAACAGCTCCAGAATCCGGGGCATCAATCTACCTGCCTACCTACCCACCGCTCCTCCAACATCCACCCACCCCATCCAAGAGCCCATCATCCGCAAGTGTCAGAAAAAGACCAAGTTTTCCATCTTCCATCTTCCATCTTCCATCTTCCATCTTCCATCTTCCATCTTCCATCAGCGTACCACTCCGCCCCTTTTTCCCTTCCTCTCCCTCTCCCTCTCCCTCTCCCTCTCCACAAACCAGCAACCTCCCCAATCCCACCTCATGAATCTCTACTCAAGCCCATCCCCGTCCCAGTCCCCACGCCCCCTGCGCCCCTGCGTCACGGTAACGCTCATTCCGACCGATCCCCGCCAGCCCCCCGCAGCCGCCAGAGTGCCCCGGGGGCGTCTGCACCAGAAAGGGGAAACCAAAACCAAAAAAACCCACCTGCCCACCCGACCGATCATCAGATTTGCTGTGCTGTGCTGTGCTCTGCTCTGATCTTCCTGCTCCGTCTCCTTCTCGGTCAGCATGGAAACCACCGGCTAACTAGTTATGGGCATGCGGGCTGAAAAAAATAATGCGAGAACTTGATAAACGGGATGCGTTTACCCCCCGGGGGAGCGAGCGCCTTGGGCCCTTCGGGCATAGACGAAGGCGGAAGCAGATACAGAGATTTGGGTTTGAGATTCCCCCCCCAAAAATATCGATTTTTCATCACGAGTAAAACGCGCTTTTCTGAAAACTCTCTACCCCACCATCGCCCGTTCTGTGTCGAAACTCCGTCTCCTTGACTGCGCCCACGCCCACACTGCTCAAACTCTTCGACCTCGCCTCCTCCTTCGAACTGATCGTCTTGAGTGTTTGCGTCCTACTGCCTGGCGCACTTCCCCCACTTCCCCCCGCTGCTGCGGCCGCCGTAATCCGTCCCTGAACATTTCCTCCCGGCGGCTGCCTCCTCTGCATCGTCTCCAAATACGGACTGGGAAGATATCCGACGCTGCCATCTCGAGCCCTGCACCTCCACCACTCGGACGGATTGCCCATGGTATCCGTCTTACTTAGCACGGCGACCAGGTCGCCCTTTTTCACCTGAAGATCGATGCCTGCGGCGGCGGATTGTAAAGGGGGGTTGTAGTCGTAGAGGACGCGGCAGAAGTCGAGTTTGGAGGGGTCGATAACATTTGCGTCTTGTTGTTGGTTTGGGGCAAGAGGTGGTGACCGGAGGCGGTGAGTTGTTGTTGACGACGCGCTTCTTCCACTTCTTGGGAGCGGGCGAGGGCGCGGATCAGTTTGCCCATTAGGTAAGGGAGGCCGAAGACAGCGACGAGGAACATTATGAATGGTTTCTTTGAGGGGCGGGGTGGGGCTGGTGAGCCGTCTGGGAGAGTGGTGGGTACGAGGGCGCCGGTGTTGCTGCGGTTGCCGGACATGAAGGAGTGGCGTCAGCTGGGGGTGGGCGGCCGGTGAGTTTGGCGAGGAGGGTGCGGAACCAGCGGAGGAGGGTGAAGATTCCGAGGACGGAGCCGAGGGTGTTGCGAAGGTTGCCGAACTGCTCGGCTACTGAGACCATTGCTGATAGATTGTTAGTCTTCTTCTGTTATGGAGAGTGGCAGAGATGAAGGTACCGAAGAACGAGGAGTGGGTTGCCATATATGTGCTCTCCAGCATCTGGGCGAATCCTCCAAAAGCGCCTACAATGCTTTCGATGATCTGGAAGGTCGCTTGCGTGCTTTGATTGAACGAGTTCGTTAGGCTGTTTGGGTCGTTGGGATTGCCTGGCATCGCTCCCATCCCTCCGCCATACATGCCACCCATGCCTCCTCCATACATGCCGCCATAGGCTCCCCCTCCGTACATGCCACCCATGCCACCAAAGCGCGAGTACGGCGATGAGTACGAGGGATATCCGCCATAGCCGCCATAACCACCTGTGCCCAATCGTGACGCCCCATAGTTGGAGTAATTCGATGCCGTTTGGTTGACCACTGAGTTCAGGGTGCTCGGTCGTGACGGTAGCGCAGGAGGATCTGAAGTGCTCGTAGAAATTGCGTTGGTACTTGTGGTCATGCTCGAGAAATTCGGTGTATTAGACGAGGCTGTCGTTGTATTAGCTATGAGAGCATCAGCGTCTGTGATCGAGGCCCCTGCGAGCATGTGCACTTGTTACCTGAAGCACCCACTCTCTCCCACGGTTTTGGCGGCGAGACCGTGCTCATCTTGGGCGCGATCGTGGTCTATGAGGTGAGCATCGAGCAACAAGTTGAGTCGTCCATCATACAGCGAACCTCAACCGGCAGAACTTAGAAGATTGATGTCGTCGGGTTGTGGCGGACTGAACAAATCCGGAGTTGGGTTGGTGGCAGAACTAAGCCGAGGTTGAGAGATGGAGAGCAAATAGTGTGAAACACATTACCACAATACAAGGGCTAAAGTGTCCCCATATTTGTGTCACCGTGCATCGCGCCTCAATCAAGAGGTTCGCCTTTGCACAAAAAACAATTTGAGTCACTTGCAACCATTCAACGGCTATATACAGATTGTGTCCAAGCACATGGGGTATCTCAAACTCAGCGCAGTACAAAAGATGCCTGAAATCCAGGAATGACGCCTCGTGTCCGCCACTGAACCCGTACCTGCTGGGTATCCAGAACGAGCCTGTTGTCTTTCAATATCTGCATATATACATGGCTCCTGTCAGATATCCCTGACGCCTTCTCTAGCGGCACTCCCATTGAAATAACTTTGATCAATCTTCAAGATCCAATCAACCTTCTGAGTCTCTGTCCTTGCTGCAAACAAGAACGTGTTCTGCTCCCCATACACAGCAAAGACGTTGCTCAAGCCAGCAGAATGCGCACTTTCACGGAGCTGTCCGGTAGACGAGGCGTCATCGCTCTGGCCCGGTATCCCGCCTAGAAGCCGTTTAAAGTCAGGCTCGTGGTCAATCCTTGCATGGACGAGGTTGATGGCGTTAATGGCATCACCGTCTGGTACGGAATGGATATAGAGGTAGGGCGGCCGAAGATCGACGAAGCGCCGTATCCATAGCATGGATGGGGCTCTCGAATTCTGCTTCTCCGAGGGCATAAGTAGATAACCTGATTTCAAAGAACAAGGGTTTTTGGCGACGGGAATCACGGTGGCAACAAAGCGGGTTTTACCCGCAGGTCTTCTAGACGGCGTGGAATGCGTTGAAGTGGCACTGCCTTGATCATAAGGTGGCGATAAATGTGGTGTCGATACGCGAGGTTGTTTAGACGCTTCTTGCGACAGATTGTTGTTCAGAATCGTGTCCGAGATGTCGTGGCTACCCTTTAACCACAACCCGACAAATTTTCTGAGAATCTCTTCTTCTTTAGACTGCAGACAACTGGGTGACGGAGTGGCTGACTTCACTTCTGCACCTACTGATAGATTGCGAGAGCCAAATGCAGCTTTCGCGATTTCTATTTCAGCGAGACGACGTTGTCGCCTTCGCGACGCGATAAAATCTCGAATCAGTGAAACTCGCCTTGGAGCCCAGTTTGTGAGGAGCTCTTCGCCGTTCACATAGTCGTGTTGAGTATCCATTCGCCATAAGTCTGCTGCTCTTTTAGCACTCAATGGCCGGACTACAACGCAGAAGATTCCGTCGGTCGAATGTGTTACCCGTGTCTGCTTCCAGAATGATTTCAGTATTGACTGTGGCCGCATATAGCTTCTCGGAAGGATCTGCAGTTGCTGATCGAGGTTGAAAATCATCGGCTCATGCACTCGAGAAGAGATCATGTTCCATCGGAGAACTACTTGAATTTTGTGCTTCTCGAAAGTTGCTCTATCCAGCAGCTGGGAGCCGTGAAGCGAACTATCCCACTGACCCACAACTGTAATGTCGGACGTCCCGTCTGCATTGTCTTTGACCATAGGTTCTTGAACCTGCTTTAATGCCACGTCTGGCGCGTCCGAGTCCAGATCTGCGATCTTGCCGGATGAATCGATCAGGTGTACGTCGCCCATACGAAGTCCTGCCAGATCTTGCCAGGGTAGAGACTCACTCAAGCTGTGCGTCAGAGTGATACTGATCCGGCGCTGGACACCTTGATGCAGCTGGTACACGCCTCTATCCACGACGCTGGATTGTACAACTTCTACAGGGAGATACTGCCCGTTCTCTGCAAGTTCAAGTATTTGGACACGAGCAAAAATATCGTGTCTCTCTTCTGTGTCATATTCGGACTCGGGTAGGCGATGCAGATTCTGCTGTTTAGGTGGCGTGTCTGCAGAGTTCCTCAACTCATCCCAGCTTACAAGCTTGTCAAGATGCATGGAAGTGACTTGCGCATAGACTGCAATTTGCAGCATCGAGTCTCTAGAGTCTTCCTGTCGTAAGCTTAAACTGTGGACACTTTCGAATCGAATAGGTCCCTCGTCAAAATCGGTGATTGTTTGCGTTGTAGTGATGCCGTTTTCGTCCGAAGCTCCTGCAACATATAGCTGCGCATGAACATGAGTCCCCTCACGCTCAGCAAAGCCAGTCATCTCATGCACAACAACATTGAATTTGATGCTTGATGTTGGGCCTTGTGCCGAAGAGGGCTCCAAAGACAACCTGAAGATGCCCAAAGCACTTTGTGTGTAAGGCGAAATGACCTCAATGGCGAAGTCTTGCACTCTCTTTTCAAAAACAGCTGTTAGGGGAACACTCCCATCACCCAGAAGCGAAAACTGTGGCGAGAATGATTCAGAAAATGGATTTTGCAGCCGGAAGTGCTGAAGGTACTCCGGCCGGTCAACATATTGGTGTATGTGTCGCATTTTCTGTACGCGCTGCCGAAGCTTCTCAGGCGACCAGAGATGTATAACAGAGTTCTTGAAGTCCATGACTCGTATTGCAAGACACGGTTTTCTGACTTCTTCCAGCCAAGGGTCATCTTCGCTCAAAACGTCATGCAAAACTAGATCGTACGAAGACGCTTTGTGCTGCCCAGCATTCAGTACCACAAATTGAAAAACAGTCTGCTTCTCCATTACATGACTGAGGACTTGTGCTTCCTTGAGCAAGGCAGCCGATTGCAAGACTGCTTCTGTAATACGAATATACTTGAGCTCCTGCCACCGGTCAGATACTGCTCGGGCAATGCCTATCTCAGCCGGACTGAGTTCACCAAAGCCATCAATGCCGACACGGAGGGTACCAATCGCTGCGTCTGATGCAGGTGCTTGAGTGATCTCTTTTATCCGGCTCTCATAGCTTTCTTTCTGACTTCGTAGCTCCGCTTGGAACTCTTCTTTGGCTATACGGAGTGCCTCTTCCAGTTCCCCCTTCTCTTCCTGCACTTCTCGCTGTGTACGTTCAGATGCCTCTGTAGCACGCAATGTCTCCTGGTAATCATCTTTCTGTCGGTCAAGCTGCCTCTGCATATCATCACGGACAGCCTTCAATGCACTTTGCTCCTCGCTTCCAGGACTTTCCTGCAATTGTGGCGTTCCAGGAATTGTGATGGCAGTATCTAAAGAGAAATTATCAAAGGTGCCGTTTGACATATATTTATCCCGAACCAAGAAAGAGCTCAGAGAATCTGAGTCTTCTTCATTTTCAAAGAACCGACTTTCAGCTCGTCCTCGTCGTTTCTCCCGGGCTCTTAGCACATCATCAAACAGGCTGTCCAGCTCATCATCGGTAAGGTGGGTGATCTTCTGGTCTGGACCCAGGATCGCACTGGCCGCCTCTCTCCTAGCCAAAGACCAGTCCGAGTCTCGAGTACGAGAGACTGGAATAGGGGATTCTGCTCTGCTGGAGTCGACTTCATGCTCCGAATCTGGTCTGCTAATACTGCGCTCGTGGTTTGGTCTCGATAATGCCGGAGAACCCACCTGTGAGACAGTGACGGAGTGCCGTAGAAGGCTCTGTTCGGCTCGCTCGGCCCTGGCCTCCTGAGGATTGTTGAAGCGGAAGATGTGAAAGTCGCCCAAGATGATGCGATTTCCACTACGCAGTCTCCTAGGCTCATTAATACGAAGGCCATTCACCATCACCGCTGCACCTTCGCTTGGAATCAGGGTTACCACATTGTCAGCATTCTCAAAGGTGCAATGCTGGTGCTGGATCTTTGAACCATTCAGGCGCATCTCAGATGTGGTGGACGTATCAACGTTTCCAACAGTTGTTGTCCCTGGCTTGATATTATAGATAAGGCATTCAGCAAGTAGTGGATCGTCGCTCAGGTTAACCAGATGTGGCATCTTCTTAGGAGTGGTGAGCCCCACAAATCCTTTCTCGATGCTGATTCCGAGTTCTTCCAGTGCGGCTTCTCTTTCTTTTTGAATCTGTTCAGTCTTCTGCAACTTCTCTTCCCAGGTTTGGTTGAGATCCTTGTATAATTTCTCGCTCTGGTTGAGCTGCTCAACAATCTCGACTTTGCTGACCTTTTTGATCGAACCATCAGCCTGAGTAATGGACACCATTTGCTGATGTAGTGGAGTGTCCGGTGCATAAACCTCATCGCTTGTTCCGGCAGTGCCAGAAGCTCCACCAAGTTTGCTCCTCAGCTGTGCCAGCTCCTCCTTCAGCTCTCTAATCATACGAGCATTGGGGTCTTCATTGACGACAGCGTGGTTCTTGATCCTCTTTGCAGAGTCCGCATAGCGCAGAGTACTTAGCGTCTCCTCGAAATTTATGTCAGCAGGTGATATTGCCGCTATCATAGCTGTCATGCTGTTTCCTCCGAGCGAATCTTTTAGCAGCCAGGTCAAAACAGAATCTCGATAGGGAACCATGGACATATTCTTCTTCTTGCCAGAGGAGAGGTCGGCTAATGTAGCAATAACGCGGCCGAGTGTAGACAATGATCGATTGATTTCCGCTCCTTCCCTCAAACGGGCACCACTTGCTCCAGTTGCTGACTGCCTCTCCGAACCAGCTAGGTCAACCAGGCTGATCTTAGCAACCTTCTCAGTGTCCAGTCCTGTCTCCGCATCATGTCTCTTTTGAGTCAGCGTCAGGGTAAAGACTGCATGCGAACGACTTGAGGTTTCGTTCATATTTGTGGCGGCTACCGTTCTGGCTTTGTTGCCTTCGTCCATCATGTTTTCAATTTCCGAAAATGATTGAACAACGAGTTTTGCTAGGTCTTCAACATAAGGCCCAGTTGACGGATGTTCTCGAACTCTCAAGTTACCCTTTGTAGAGGGATTCAAAAGATCTCGTACCCGTTCGTTATAGATCTCAAGATATGAGACTTCGACAGTGCAACTCAGGCTGGGGTCCTTTTGTAGGCTGGATATTCTGTCGAACATGTCCCGGCATATTCTAGGTATAACCCCTGGTTCTTCGCCATACCCCATCATGGAATATGACTTGCCGGAACCCGTTTGGCCATATGCAAAAATACAGTTGTTGTAGCCCTGAAAAGCATTGTCGAGCAACGGATTTCCTAGGTCAGCGAAAAGATTGTCCTGTCCAGCAAAATGCTTATCGTTCTTGTTGAAAGACCAATACGATTTATCGAAAGCAAACGTCTTCTGGCCGTCCAGTCCCCCCTTCCCACCCTTTCGTAGCCGTTCTTCGGCATCGGGAGGTGGCTGAAGAACAGTTTGGGCGTCTCGCATGGAGACGATGCATTTTGCATTGCGGTTGAGCTCTAAGTGCTGCTTGGTTAGAGGATATTATGACAATGCTTTCGAGGAAACTCAACGTACCTCTGCTGTTGAATGGTCTGACCCTAACCACCACCTTTATATTTCCTCCTCCAGTAGGCGCCATTTTCAACGCCGTCGGTTGTGTAGTGCCTTAGATGTTACTGAACCATCATCTGGCTGGTAGTGTGCTGGGTAGTGCCAGGCGCGGACAGCTGAAGCTGTGTCAGGAGCTATGCCTCCGGCTAACAGGGTTTCACAAGGCTGATATAAGCGCGACACCGCAATTCAAGTACTTGCGCCTCGACTTCATGGTAGGCTGAGTTCTTGCGAAGACGGGAGTTGAACAAGAATGCGAAGTCTCCACACACAAGCTGTCAGGAGCGGGCGCCGCCGGGTGGATTCAGCCGTGGCAGCTTGTGCCAAGCTTCCCTAGCTTACCGTTTCGCCGCAACTCCAGTTGACAAATGGAGAAATAATCAACGCCTCCACCCAAAGGGTCCACCAGCCCCAGGTATCGCAATGTTGCCTGAGCCTACTTACAAAGAGCAGAGCCTCTTGAGCCGCAGTTCACACGCATTTCGCATTGTCCCTGGTCTGATGCCTTGATGCTGCATGATTAAATCACCTGCCAAACCCTTTCTGAGCTGCGTGCATGCTGAACCCACGAAGAACAACTTATCCTCCGGAATGATGGACAAGTCTCCAGTGAAGAAAAACCCTAGAGGCGCTTTCCTGAGCGGCATCTGGCATTGTGAGTGCGAGCCTAGGTTGCCTGCGGAGCATTTTCAGACCAAAAATGGAGGACAGAACCATGGGAGATGGTGTACGGATTATGGCTTCTCTTCTGACGAGAACTTGGCAACTAATCAACTGCGGCCTTAGTCTATACCTGTCAAAAATCTCAGCCAAAGCGATGCAAGTTCTTCTTGTGGGACGATGATGCAAAAGTGCGCGAGGAGGCCACCGTCCTAAACAACTCTCGATCCGAGGCGGGCCCCAAGACGCCTATGAAGCCTGTGCAAGCACCACGACAACACGCAACTACACGCACCCCGCCAGCGCAAAGAAGTCACCACAGCGTGATGACTCCTACAAGCACCGTCAGACCACTCTCTATTGCCAGTGACGAAACCGATTTTGAATGGTCAGCAAGCAACGAGAAAGCTTTGTTGAAGATGGCTCAAACACCAGCCATGGTGCCACCTGAAACGCCTCGTAAGACACCTCGAACAGCTCAATTCACCTCGCCGGGCAAGAGGAATCACTGTGAGATGCTAGGGAGCGTTTCAGGGTTGTCTACTTCTGTGTGTACCGATGACGTATTCAATACCCCACGATCATCACAAGATGTGTGCGGACTGCTATCACCAGTTGAAACTCCTTCGCGAGAGAAGCTACAGAGAGGCGTGCATTGCCCGACCGAGTCTGACTTGGCAGCAGACGTTCTTCGCATACTGGAGGGAGTCAAATTATCCAATGAGATGGAGCAGAAGCTGGTGGAGTTGCTAAACAAGCATGATTTGAGAACTCAAGGCATTGCGAAGGGACGAGACGTTACGAGGTTAGCTCTGGGCAGTAAAGAGAGGAAGATTGCCGAGCTTGAAGCAAGAATTGCTGGCTTGGAAGGCGAACGAGAAACGAACAAAGCCGTCATTGCACACCTGAAAAGGAATATTGTCCAGACGAGCCCAAGCAAGAGCAGGAAATCTCGAGGCTAGGACTTTGCTGCGCTGAACTTGGAGCGAGCACAGTTTAGAAAGCTTTGAGGGGACTAGTGGTCAACTGCAATGTCTTACAGTCGGGTTTTGGGAGTTGAGAGTTTTCTGACTGCCAGTCTTCATAACGAAAGCAGGGTGTACAGTACGGAAGCGTCTCTAGTGTGAGACTGACGTAGCAAAATTGTTTCCGCTGGTCCTCCGGAGACCTGATCTGGGGTACTAACGCGCAGTATGACTCGAATCGTACACAGTCATGTAACCATGCTGTACAGTACACTTTCTCCCCGCTTTCTATCTCGTCTGGCTGGATAGCTGGTTCGAGGTCAGCGTTACGTACTACTACGGTCATCCCGCTTGATGAGTAATACTGGTCAATCGAAGCGAGTACGGAGTACTCCGTACCCCTGTTACACAAGCCCAAAGGACGTAGCATGTGGCGAGAAGGCTGAGAGATTAGCACTTCCGCCTTGGCAGCGTCAGGGGAAGACGGCCGAAGTGGGCCATAGGGGTCCGAAGAGGAGCCAAAAGGCCCAGACTCTCAAACTCAAATGCAGCCGCCGGGCGTCAGGGTGCAGCTGATCTCTTGCAAGACCCTTGATCGGGGCACAACTTCTGGATTTCCCGCCCTGAAACCATATTAACCTGGCATTGTCGCAAGACCATTTTGAGGAATCCCTTTAGCCAGATCCAATTCAATATTAGCGATGCTTGCCATGGAGATGAATGCCCTCAAAGTGGACTCTAATTGAGGCTGTAAAATGGCAAAGTTGACTAAATCCATCGCAGCCGCACCGTAAGTGGCTATTCCGTTCTGGGACTCACGAGAATTGGAAATGGGAATCGGAGGAAGCTGCAATCTGAGGTGTAACATGGCCCGCAGCTCGGGCCCGAGCTCAAACGTCCCATGTGACTGATCTCGAACCGCTTCCCGCAGTACTACGTCAAAGAAATTCGCTTCACAAATAAATCCTTTATCACATCACCTTAAAGACAAATTGCAAAACCTTCCCTTATCAACCTGCACGCTCCTATTGAATAACTAGTGAGCCTTTCTTTGAACTCTCCTTCAGCCACTCGGACATTTTGTGCCCACTCCCCGATCTTAGTCAGTGACCGTCAAATAATAAACCCATTGACCGCCATTTCTTTGCATACTGCCTAATCGCGTTCTTCGTGATCGTGATCCGTATCATGAGCCTGCCAGATGGCCGCATTCGAAGAAGTTCAAGTATAGAGCGCCGTGATCCTTACGCCTCACCTGAGGTTTACTATGCTAAAGATCATGGAACGAGTTCTCTGGTCCGCAACCGAATCTGGGTGACCAAAAGTCCGGCTCAAATTGAGATCGTAAACAAACGTCGTGCCAGTCACGGTAAGCGGTGCCGGGCCTATCACTACCAAAAGCCATGCTTACAGTCTGTTAGATGAGTACTCACAACCTCAGAAGTTTATTGTCAATGTCGAAGCTACTCTGAAAGACTTGTTGGACAGAGAGGACACCGACAAGAACCACCAAATCACTGTCGATGATAATGGACCCAAAGTACGCCTGCTCTTTTGACAAGTACTATTGTCAGCGACTGACGAAGAATCTCAGGTCATTTCACTAGGGACGCTGGGCTCGGCCGGCTACAAGTCCAAAGATGTTCGCGGCAACTATCTCATAGGCAACCTTCTGCAGGAGCTTACCCTTGCAAATGATCTTGGCCGAAAGAATGTGGTGATCGACCTGGCTCGACTTACTGAAAATCCGGTCAGCCGCTTGTCACGGTTCATCAAGGATACTTTTTGGGACAATCTTACTCGAGTCATAGATGGATCAGTGATTGAAAGAGTCGGGAAAGACCCCAAGGATCGAACTGAAAATCCTCGGCCCAGGATCTATGTTCCGCGAGGTGCACCCGAACAATTTAAATATTACACCCAGGTTGCCGAGGAGCGGCCAGAGGTGGGTCTGGACGTTCAATGGTTACCTGATGGACCAATCACACCAGAATACGTGCGAAGTATCAACGAGAAGCCTGGGCTGCTGGCACTGGAGATGGAGAAATGTATTGATCCGCAGACGGGTCTGGAGACTCTGCGCGGTCTGCCATTTGTCGTCCCTGGGGGCCGATTCAATGAGCTCTATGGTTGGGACAGCTATATGACCTCCTTGGGCTTGCTCAACCACGGACGCATTGACATGTGTAAGTCGATGGTTCGGAATTTCTGCTTCTGCATCAAACACTATGGAAAAGTCCTAAACGCCAACCGTTCTTACTACCTGTGTCGTTCTCAGCCACCTTTCTTGACAGACATGGCGCTCCGTGTGTATGAAAAGATCAAACATGATCCGGGCGCAGAGGAATTCCTAAGGACCTCGGTCCTTGCTGCTATCAAGGAATATTACAGTGTCTGGATGGCTGAGCCACGTTACGACGCCGTCACTGGGCTGTCTCGTTACCATCCAGAAGGTCTGGGCGTACCACCGGAGACCGAAGCGAGCCACTTTCTGCATATCTTGACTCCGTACGCCAAGAAACACAACATGACTTTCGAGGAATTTGTGCAAGCGTACAACTCTGACCAAGTTCATGAGCCTGATTTGGACGAGTATTTCCGACACGATAGAGCTGTTCGCGAATCTGGTCACGACACGTCCTATCGTCTGGAACACGTTGCTGCGGATTTGGCTACCGTGGATCTGAATTCGCTGCTTTATAAGTATGAAACCGATATTGCGCACATCATTCACGAGCACTTTGGAGACAAGCTGGTCATTCCTCCAGAGTTTCAGACCAATGAGAACCGACTGGACCGGATGGAAAGCTCGTCGACCTGGGATCGTCGGGCCAAGAGACGCAAGCTTCTGATGGACAAGTATCTCTGGAGCGAGGAGAAAGGCATGTTCTTTGATTATGACACAGCCAAAAGAGTGCGTACAAGTTATGAGAGCGTTACCACCTTCTGGACCATGTGGGCTGGGGTAGCGTCTCCAAAGCAAGCTGCTTCATTGGTGTTGAGAGCACTTCCAAAGTTCGAGTGCTTTGGCGGGCTGGTTTCTGGGACCGAGAAGTCCCGTGGCAAGATTGACGTGGACCGGCCAAATCGGCAATGGGATTACCCCTTCGGCTGGGCACCACAGCAGATGCTGGCTTGGGCGGGTTTACAAAAATACGGTTACCACGACGAGGCACGTACCTTGGCGTACAAATGGCTGTACATGGTTATCAAGGCCTTCAACGACTTTAACGGAGTAGTCGTGGAGAAGTACAACGTAACGAAGGAGCTCGATCCTCACAAGGTTGATGCCGAGTACGGCAATCAAGGCAGCGATATCAAAGGTGTTCCTCGGGAAGGGTAAGGGAGAAGCTTCCACGTACAAGAAAACATGATGCTAACATATGTGCAGGTTTGGCTGGGTCAACGCCAGTTATGTCGTGGGGTTGCAGATCGTGAATGCGCATATGAAGCGAGCCCTGGGTACTTTGACACCTTGGGACACCTTCTACCAAGCAACAAAAATGCATATAGATGATGAGATCATCTCGGAGGCTATTGAGTTTGAGTGAAGCCATCCATGACTTTTCAGCTGGTCTGCATCAGCGGGATGGGAGAAATGCTTGCTGGAGCTTGCGGATTGGGGCTCAAAAGGGGTCACTGAGCTGCCAACACATCGTACGCTCGTTTTTTATACCTCTTACGATTCACGACCAATACTTCCATAGAGAGTAACCCTAGACTCTTAGAGCTTTTATCCGAGTCTAATCCTAATGACATTACCCATGATATAGCTTTATAGTTCTATTCGCATGGACTCAAGTACCTTGACTCAGAAAAAGTCGCTTGCAGACATCAGGTCTAGGCGATCAGATGTTTGTGTGCTTACAATTTTTAGCCGAGGATCCCAGGAACAACAACTCACGTGACCTACGACGACGTAATTTGGTCTTGGACTTCAGAACAATATCCGAAATCAATCACCAAACCGATAGCCATGATATGGTCAAAGGACGGATTAAAAACGCTGCAAATAACAGAGGGCCGTGATTATGTACGCTCTACATGTCAATGCAGAGGCTGTAAGATGTTGGAGACCGTTCGAACTCGTTGCTACGTACTAAAAGACCGTCATTATGCCAAGCATAGCCTCCTGTCCTCCGCGCTCTAATTTCAGCACATGTCTCCCCACGATCTATATCACCCAAGTTGGATCGACTTCCCACAAAAGCCGAGGGAAAAAGGTCTCCTCTGGTGTTGCCGCCTATGCCATTCATAGCTTGACGCCTGATTCTCTTGCTCTAGACTCTGCTCTTCAGGTTGGTTGCCGTGCTGCTGATGGATCTGACTGGGCGCGGAGCTGGTAGACCGAGATGGCTCTTTCTGGCTCTCCCTCCAAAGGACACCTTCTCTTCACATGGGTTTCTTTGCGTACTTTCATTTTCATACTCTCCCAGTCGTTTGGTTGTGGTCTCCTTGAACGCTGTGAGAAACACAGCTTGAGTACTAGCTGACTGTTGCACAAATCATTACTGCCTATACATGGTCTTCACGTACGCTATACCTGTGGATATGGGCTACCTCGACGATGAAGAGCAGATATACTTGGAGGATGTGGCTGCTGTTAAGAAGTGGTGGGAAGATTCAAGATGGAGATACACCAAGAGACCTTTCACGGCGGAGCAGATTGTCCAGAAGCGAGGAAATCTAAAGATTGACTATCCCAGCAACGCCCAAGCAAAGAAATTATGGAAGATTGTTGAAGGAAGATTTGCAGTATGCTACTCAACCAGTGCAAGAACATGGGATCTAACACTCTTAGAACAAAGATGTATCCTTCACGTATGGCTGCCTAGAGCCGACCATGCTTACTCAGATGGCCAAATTCCTCGATACGGTTTATGTCTCTGGATGGCAGTCCTCCAGCACCGCTTCCTCCACCGATGAGCCCTCCCCTGACCTTGCGGATTACCCTATGAACACCGTGCCTAATAAAGTCCATCACCTCTGGATGGCTCAGCTATTCCATGACCGCAAACAGCGCGAAGAACGACTCACCACTCCCAAGAGCGAGAGAGCCAATGTTGCCAACACAGATTTTCTCCGTCCTATTATCGCTGATGCAGACACTGGTCATGGTGGGCTTACCGCAGTCATGAAGCTTACCAAGCTCTTCGTGGAGAATGGGGCTGCAGGAATTCACATTGAAGACCAAGCTCCCGGCACAAAGAAATGTGGTCATATGGCTGGCAAAGTTCTCGTCCCTATTTCCGAGCACATCAATCGCCTAGTCGCAATCCGCGCACAGGCAGACATCATGGGCTCTGACCTGTTGGCCGTAGCTCGAACAGACTCTGAAGCAGCGACTCTGATCACATCGACTATCGACCATCGAGACCACTCATTCATCCTCGGCGCCACCAATCCTTCCCTTCAACCCCTCAACGACCTCATGGTTGCCGCAGAGCGAGCGGGGAAGATGGGCGAGACTTTGGCAAATATTGAAGAGGAATGGATAAAGTCCGCTCAGCTCAAGCTCTTCGATGAAGCAGTCATTGACGCCATCAGTGCGGGCGTGCATGTCGATAAAGCATCTTTGATCAAAAAATACAAGGATGCCGTAAATGGCAAGTCCAATTCCGAGGCCCGTGCAATTTCAAAAGGGTTGACTGGTGTTGACATTCATTGGGATTGGGACGCACCAAGAACACGTGAGGGATATTACAGATATCAGGGTGGATGCCAATGCGCAGTCAACCGTGCCATTGCATACGCACCTTATGCAGATATGATCTGGATGGAGAGCAAGATGCCAGATTATGCACAAGCCAAGGAATTTGCAGATGGGGTGCATGCAGTATGGCCCGAGCAGAAGTATGAATTCCTCCACATTCAACCGTACTTTGCGGAAGTAATCAGCTGACACTTCATGCGCATTACAGATTAGCATACAACCTCTCGCCGTCCTTCAACTGGAAAGCCGCCATGTCCCAGTCTGACCAAGAAACCTACATCGCTCGCCTTGGACAGTTGGGCTACTGCTGGCAATTCATCACCCTAGCTGGTCTACACTCTACCGCGTTGATCTCGCATCAATTCTCCCAGGCATTTGCCAAACAGGGCATGCGAGCTTATGGATCGCTCATACAAGAACCAGAAATGGCTCTCAAATGCGACGTGGTGACGCATCAGAAGTGGTCAGGAGCCAATTATGTGGATAATCTGCTGAAGATGGTGACTGGAGGTGTGAGCAGTACGAGCGCGATGGGTAAGGGGGTTACTGAGGATCAGTTTAAGGGGCATTGATCCAGAGACAGATGATAAGAAAGGGAAGTCTTGCATAGAATGAAAAGGAGGAAATGGAGAATGGCGGTCGTAGAGCAAGCACATCAATTGCCCAAGACTTGACTTCATGCTTGCTGCTTTGGATGGGTTGTTGACTTGAAATATGAAGCTCCACCTATAGTTATGTATATTTTACTACAAATCACGAGACCTCTTAGCATTGTACTCCCAATCCTATCCTACAGACCATCATCATACGTACGTGATCATGATCATTCACCCCATGACGCCTTGCACGTCATTCTTCCATCCTCTTTCCGGCTTCCCTCCTGGGAAACATGACCAACACATTCGTCCAAACCAGGCACAGTCCGATCTTCCAATCCGGAAGGGCACCCCAACCAATCAATAAAATAGAGTCGCAGATGAAAAATAATGAAGATCCTTTCCGTTCCAGGGTCCCACCCCCCAAATCTCACCTAAGTTATTTACCATTTCCCCTTCCTACTTTCACGCCCCACGCAAACCAAAGGAGCCTTTCTATCTGTCCTCCTACTAACCTAGTATCCACCGATTTGGAAAGGAAAAAATTTTGTCCAACAAATTAACGCGCTAGGAAAGGTGGATAACTAGGTACTAGTAATTCTAGTCTCTTATCTCTGTCCTGCATCGAGACATCTGGAAAACCTGCGATATGGGGGTGGGGCGAGCGAGCGATCCGCTGGTCTGGGAAAGGTAAGCCATGTGAATATTGATCATGTGCTTACTACGTATAGTGAGGAGCAACTATCGAATGCGTGATCAGTGGTGAGCGGGATCGAATTGGTTGGGTTTTTTGGGGTGGTGGGCGGACAACAGAAGGGGATGGGATGGGATGGGATGGGATTGGACTGCAACGGTACAGATCTGACTTAACGTAATTTTACTCAGGTTCGGGAATTGCTGTACTATGTTATGTTACTTGGCCCGAGATTAACAGGGTTCGGGATATCAACGACAGCGTGCCAAATTAAAGCTAATGGTCTTACCATTTGCACTTTACATATAGTTAGTATAAACGTTATATGGGTAATAAACGGCGAGGAGGTCTATATTTCATCTGTCTGTCCAGTGTGCGTATATCTATCTTCATCGTTATGACCAGCGATGGCCTATCTACAACGCTGCGAACGAAGACAGCTTATCTAAGTCTGATGAGAATCTTTCCCCCATTCTTTCTCCTACCTTCTCTTGCTTATCTTCTGATGCCCTTGTGGAACGCAGAGAGCACATGAACCGCAGGGCGGCGTGGCGGGCCTAGGATTCTTGGATTGCTCAGCTGTGTCGCAAGACTTCAAGATGCTTGAGGACTATTGCCTCGAGGCGTACTCCAGTGCGATACAATCGAAGATTCGCTTCGATGGAACGTGATTTTGTAGTAAGAAGTTGCTTTATCCATGCCGAAGCTTTGACACAGCATCAACAATCAGCTCTCCCAAAACTTCTTGGAAACGGTACCACATCTCTGAGGTTATGTACACCCGTCAGGTACGCAATGAGTCGATCCCATCCGATACCAAACCCTCCATGGGGCATGGTGCCATATCGTCGTAGATCGGCGTACCATTTCAAAGAGCCGAGTGATTCACCCGGTTCCAGGAAAGGATAGGCATCAACGTTGTCCTTGTGAGCAGGATCAGTTACATGGTCCGCTGATGCTAGAGGAGCTTTAGGCTTCAGCATGCCGTCTTCGCGCATGTTCTGGATCAGATTTTCCAGCCGATGTTCTCGAAGACTTCCTCCCGCGATCTCGCTCACGCCAAATGGCATCAGGAGGTCAAAACATGCGACAGTATCTTTGCCTGTCTCCGTGTCATCGAAAATATCCCGAGAATCGCCTGGAGGTCGGTAATTCGGATAGCTGATGTGATCTATCGCCATGGTTGAGGGAGCCATGTAAAAGGGTTTGATCGCTCTGGGATAATGCGTCACAAATATGGGCCTTCCCTTACCAATATTCTTGACAATCCATTTTTCATGCTCTAAGTATAAGCTTGACCCATATTTGGGATGCCGTTCGAATAGACTCGCATCGGCCTCGGCTGCTTCTTTCAGCCTATTAATACAATATGAATAGCTTGCAGATTTCCAGCGGCCACCAGAGATTACACGCCAGCGTTCCTCGATCTCTTCCGCCTTTTCCTCTGCCTTTTCCTCGTGTGAAGCACGAGCTGCAAGCAACAAATCAGGGTAATGCGGTGTTTTCTTCAGTCGATATACAAGAGTCTTGATGAGATGTTCGACCAAGCCCGTCAGAGTGCGAACAGAGTTCGCATAGCTCACTTCTACTTCTAGCATGTAGAATTCTGCTAGATGGCGGGGGGTATCACTCTTTTCCGCTCGGAATGTTGGCGATAGGCTCCATACGTTCCGGAGGTCAGCTGCATAAGCTTCGAGGTGGAGTTGAGAGGAGACCGTGAGATATCTTGGTGTGCGGAAGAAAGTTGTCGGACTTGGCTTTGCACCTTGTTCCTGGTCTTGCTCGAGTGTTGACGCCCCTGCATTGGAAACAAGTGTAAAGACTTCACCAGCCCCTTCGCAGTCCGACGAGGTGATAATTGGAGGCTGTACCTGAACAAAGCCGCCTCCTTTCTGACTAGCGTATGACATGTATGTGTTCAAGAAGGAGGCGCAGCCAGATCGAAAGCGAGCAAGGAAGGAGTGAAAGGGTGTCCTCATCCGAAGGTGAGGCACCGTTCGAAGGAACTCAGGACTGTGATATTTTTTTTGTATTGGGTATGTCTGTGGCGACGAAACTTGCAGTCAGCCATGCGGTCCAAGACTCAAGGTAGATCAGCTATCATGTGTTAACACAACGGCTCTTTTCTGCTCACCTCTGGATCCGAAACGCCATAGATTCGGATATCATCCGCCCTGAGTTCGTGTGACTGTCCCTTGGCCGGGGAAGCGGTCCAGGTGCCGCTTGTGCGCAAGCATGTCCCCGTGTTGAGTCTATCGGTCATATGTCAGCCTAGCCATTAAGATTCTCCAGTCTCGAAAGAACCCACGGTGCAGCAAGCTCTGGGTCAAGAACCACCTGGATAGCTTGGAAACAAGAACCATCGGTAAAATGAGCAAACGCGCCGTGCTTCTGTTTTCGAATGGACTTGATCATCCCACTCACACTAACCTTCTGGTTCGCGTAGGGGTTGTCCGGAGCCAACAATTTCGCACAGCGTGTATACGACACATGCCTTGGTGGTGGCTTCGACTGGGGTATTGTCGGTTGTCTAGGCTGGCTTTGTGAACTATCCCCCACTTGCACCATCCTCAACTTGTCCTTAATGCTCGTGTCATCTTCGCTCTGTGCTTCGCTCTGTATTTCCCTTAGGGGCGTAGTGGTGCTGATGCCGCGAAGCTTCCATGGTGTCCAGAAAGCAATGCTTCCCCCCGATCGTAAGGTGGTCGACGTGTTCGAAGCTTGAAAAATGCGTGATGGCAAAGCGCGCCATAGCATGGCTGAAGGGGCGTAATGTCTATTCAAAAAAGTCTGGAAATTCCATTGAAAGCTCGGCTCCAAATTCGGCCTGGCCATTTAGCGATGCTGAGAGGTGACTAGGCTGGAACTGGCAACCCTTTGGTGGACGCTAATCCAATCGGATAGGTATCCAGCAGAAATAAATCGTCCTGGAATTGCAGGAATCCATTCACATCCAAAGTCTCCCTTGGTCAAATCTTCATGTGCTGTCTCTTACTTCGGTTCAATCTGATCGTGAACTCCGACCCTTTCTGTGACTAATTTCTTTACACCACGAAGACCATGTCAACGTCCTCAAGAGACAGTTCATACACAAAACTCAGGGTATCGTATAGAACGTTTCGACTCATCACTCATCCGAACTACAAAGCGGAACCCTCGCTTTCATTCACGCTATCATTCTAAAGAGAAAGTCGCATGGCAATCTTCAAACAGTAAGCATGCATTAGTGACATATATTGCTGTACAAGAATTGTCAGTGCTATGTATAAATTGACAGATCTCTTTCCTTCATACCCGATGGATGCTGTCCAGAACCTTCTCCGTTCTATTGCTGAACAAGCCCTGCAACCACTTCATGACCTATTGACTCAAGCAACAACCTTGACTTTCTTAGGTCTGGCGATTCCTCTTCCCCGAACAACAATGCCTTCAGGACTTTCTCCAACTTCCCATCAAAAACACCCCGGTGACCTTCGGCAGCTTTATTTGTCTGCGCCCGTTCCAAAAAGGCCAGTCGAAAGTTGGAGCCGAAGAGGACCTCGGCTCCACCAGGTATTAGCTTAACATTGTTGCTTTTGATAAGAGCAAGTAGTATGATAAGCATTGAAGACTAGCGAGGTAAGGACGGCGTCTGCTGTTGTCCAATGAGCGAAGATCTGTAGATAACCCCTCGAGGCTCAATGGTTAATGATTGTTGGCTGTCTGGTGACAGATTGCTTTGCAGACTTGCTTAAGCCGCACGGATTGAGCTGGTCGCATTTGACTTTGCGAGCTCGACATGATTGACAAGCTGTCATGAGCGCTGCTGCTGAGCTTTCTAGAATACTGTCTTGGAGGATTCCAAGTCTGGGGAAGTGATCCAGACTCGGCCGAGCCTTCGATGAAAGTGGCCGAGGGGGAATTGGCGCTACGATGTGGTAGATGATTCGTCATCATAGTGTTAGCTAACCACGAGACAATCAAGATAACGCTTTTCATTGGTGCTAAATTTGCTTATATAAACCTCTTCCCGCAGAGTGTTCTCAACTGGATCTATGGGAACCGTTCCTTATGAAGTCTGGGGGTCCCGAATTGAAAACCTTGGAATCCACTAGCGATGCAAGAGACAAAGCAATGTAAACGGCTGTGGAGTTTCCCCGCAAGCACGACGATGGGATGAACATCATTGTAGCATTTGCTACTCTGCATCGGTATTGAGGCAACCCCTTCCTCCTAGAAGTCAATAGGATGCTATTGACATGTCCACGAGATTTCAGGACTTCTCCATCATACCGCTGGTGCCTGAACTCTTCTCGATGCTGTCAGTCCGTCCACTCCCGTAGACATCAGCATAGCTAGCTTTGCGGCTCTCGCGGACGCCTCTCTCCGGATCTACCACAGATTGACCTCGTTGAGCCACCTGCACAAGATGGGGATTCTCTGTACACAGCTTCTTGAAGTTACGCTCGGCATCCCAGTTCCATGGAGTGTCCGCAGCGAACAAAAGATCCATCTCTTCCAAGGTGCGCTGATTGGATTCCGGGTATAAAGCCCAAACGATTGGTATGCTAAGGACATTACAAACACCAAAGATGTAAAGCGTTTTCCCGCCAATGGCCCCGAGCATGACTGGGCACAAGAGAGTCTATGACCAGCTGTCAGTGTGGGCGCAAATCAGGTGTAATGGTAAAAGACTTACCAGCCATCCGTTTCCAATGCTCCAGCCAACTACACCCCAAGCATTGCCCTTTGCTCGCACTGCGAGAGGGAAGATCTCCGCCGGGTACAACCATGGGACTGTCAACCACGTAGCACCAAAGATGGCGGTGAAGATGAAGACCATAGACGCAGATGCAATGCCATATGAGCTTGCCTTTGCCGTATCATTGTCTGCAATGGCGTCGGCACTTAGGCAAATAAACCCTCCAGCGAGAAACATTGCGATACCCTGACCCACAGAGCCCCAGTACAACGTCCAGCGTCTTCCGATCTTGTCAAGAGTAAAAACGCAGATAAGGGTGGAAATCTGTTAAATGATATCAACATTGAGCTATCACTTCACCTAGGAGATCGCGCCTCACCATGTAAGTAACGAAGTTCAGACCACTCAGCCACTGGCTCTTGTTAGTATCGAACCCAGCAATTCGAAAAATGGTCGGTGCATCTGTCACAAAGTAAATCAGCATCATCTCCATCGTTACAATGGTGGAGGGGACGGACAAACTGTCACCGCTGCTATTCCCACCCAATCCTGCATGATTTGGAGCCAGATGACAAGTTGAATACGTCTCCCAGTATGAAGCTTGCCGGATCCTCTTCCGGTAAGCATCGACGAGTATGATGTGCTGTTTTTCGCAGACCTCACGAGCTCAGCAATATTTTTGATGTCCTCAAACTCGGCCTGCGCTCTGCCTGCATCAGCTGGGTCGGAGCCGTCGCCGCGCAGTCTTTGTAGGACATAGAGAGCCTCGTCCTCTCGGCCGACTTTGGTCAACCATCTTGGTGACTCCGGAAAGAACCAGACCGTTCCCAGTAGAAACAGAAGAGGAACGATCTGGAAGGCGATAGGAAACCTCCACCGGAATGCTGTGACACCGCCATCGACATATGCAAGTCCGCTGTTGCGACAAAGCATAAGCAGGTGGATCCTAGGAGCACAGTTTTATGTACTCACTACTCAAGCCAATATGCGACAACCACGCCGAAGATATTGAGAGTGAACTCGATAGTGATGAACTGACCACGTGATGTATAGTCGGCTGTTTCGGTGGCCCATACTGGTACGATGGCATTTAAGATGCCAGTGCCACAGCCGTTGAGAACACGAGCTGACGGTATCAGTATACTGTGCAGTCGTTGTCCAGAGTGTGCATCTTACCGCATATCATCCAGCTGTGGTTCTGTGCAGATGTCTGCAAGATAGCACCGACAATACTCCAGGCTGCTCCAGTCGCAATCGTTTTGATTCGGCCGATTTTGTCACCAACCCAGCCTCCAAGCAGTGCTCCCACGAGACAGCCAAGATAGTAAGAGGCTACGATACCGCCTTGCAAGAGGCTGTCATTGATGACTGGGACATTTCGATCCTCGCCACGGTCCTCAGTATAACCAAACCCCATGAGGTGGATGTAGTCTTTGGCATTGTTCACACCACCCATCAGGCCCTGATCATAACCAAAGAAGAAGATTGATAAGCCCGCAACGCAGTTGACAGCAATGAGAAGCTTACGCTTCTGCAGCTTATGTGAAACATTCCACCCGTTTATCTGATGCAAGCTTAACATGATGAAGGATGGGAGACAATGGAATAGGTTTGGACAATGTCCCATTCAGGACGGCCGGGGACATGGTACATATATCAACGGTCGATCATCCTAAAGCACCTAAAATACCAGTTCTGGGATCATTGCGGCAATTTCCTGCCGTTGTCAAAACTCACACAGGGAATATTGGCTCAAAGGAGACATGCAAAGGGTACTCCTCTGTGTAACGATTCCGGCTCTACATCATGCCTCCCACGACAGACGGTACGGTAGAAGATCTCGGGTATTGATTGACAGTGGTACAGCGAAGCACGAGTATCGAGACGGCATATGGCTCCATTTTTTCCCGCATCCCTCATTGCACAGGCCATGGATGATCATGACGATGAATGCTGATAGCAATCAAAGCCGCACTCTTGCCGGGAGAAGGGCTCTGAAAATGCCGCGGTATTTGGTCCTTAGTAATTTAGCAGACGTTTTATTATTTTAAGGATTTTCAGGAGGCTCAAAACCATAAAGCAATAAACTGAGCGACATTTGGTTTAAATGACGTCTGAAATAACATAATTTTATTGTATTTGAGATTTCTAGCCGCATAAATTTATGTACTCCGTAAACTAGATCACATCACGGTTAGGCTGAAACGAAGCACATATTGATGGTAATTTAGGCATAGTTTCTAAGCTCCCCGTTTGCAATTGACATCAAAGCCAAGAGAGACGGTGAGACTAGACTTGAGCTTAACTATTTAACTTAGGATCTTTGGGCCTTCGGGCCGCCGATATCCTACGTAGTAGAGTAGAAGCGCGTTGTCGTGGACCACCATGTAATTCTAACGTAGCAAAGTCAGTTTCTCAAAGGTCAGCTTACCACTACTCTTTGATTGTCTCCGTGCTGTACAAACTCATTGAAGCCGTAGATACTCGCTGCCACTATGTATCCACACCAGCATCTCTGTACGGAGAGTCCGTTCCCTTTACAGTGCACCAAAAACCCACTCGCATACGTGGAATGTCTGAGGCTCGGTGAATAGCAGTGGTGCTATGACCATGATCTTCATTCCAATTTTGTTGCTGGGCAGCCGTGATATAGAGAGACTCGGAATCTGTGCCTGAGTGCTTTCTTTCGGGTTGGATTCTAAACAGTTTCGTTATCGATCCTTAACAGTGGCTTCGCCCGGTGGTTACAATGCACCATGGTGGCCACGCTCAATTTGAAGCACAGACACAAGTCAAGAACGCCGCTACCACTTGCTGTGAGCACGGTGTACTGCTTAGCCTACCTTACATTAATTCTCTTGTCAATCTGCCAAAAATGTTAGAGTGACCCCTGGCGGGCGCCCAACCTTCAATTGTGCTTGTTTTTTTCTCCCTCGGCAGCGCCTAGGGACATTTCAGAGCTTTGTCTAGGCAAAAGCGGTTCTGATTGTGCATTTTTAGCAGCACCTAAAATCATTTGGGTATGCAACGATTCAAGAGTGCTCTCCCGACTCATGACGCCTGCGATAGGGTTCTGGGCTGCGGATGGCTGCATCAGCGCAACATGAGAAGCAAACCGCAAAAGTGACCTGCATATCGTGCCTTCTCCTCTCGTAGTAAACAAATCGCGAACAGTCTGTCAACTGGAACTCGGTGGCGCATTCTATTATCTTGACTTAACAGACTCCCGTTCAGAAATCTCAGTTCTCACCTCACCTCAAACAAGGGCGGTGTTGTGGTCACTTTGAAGGATCTGAGACAGCAGAAACCGAGGCAATCAAACTCTACCACCTTGTTCGACATCCTTTGAGCATATGCACAAGGGATCCCTCCATCTTTTGTGTACATCGAATGAAACTCTTCCTCCTCCTGGGCAATTCATTGGCCACAGACTGAGACAGGAAGTTGTCAGGAACGAACTCTAGGTGGATTTGCAGATGCGGCAGGAAACAAAAAGCAGAAGCCATCAGTATTTCCTGCAGCTCCTTTGGAGGCTGTCTAAACCGCCAAGCCGATTGTGATTTCTTCCTGTTTGGTGTGCTCGAAGAATCAACCTTTGCTAGGGCAAAACACAAGCGCGTCTTGTCACTCGGTGCTTTGCTGTTTTGCTCTCGCATTATGTGGTCAATCTTGATGTCCGTCTTCTTGGCCGCCCTATCTGCGCTTTCCAATCCTGCAGACGCCTTTGTCGTCACGGGCATTTCGGCAGGTGTCAATAATGCAACAGGTGAACGCCCCTTTAGACGTGACATCAATGAGCTTTACATGTCCGGCCCCGCCTGGGACTTGTTCATCCTCTCTCTTCGCGAGTTTCAACAAGCTGATCAGGACGACCCTCTCTCCTATTATCAAGTGGCAGGTAAGGCAATAGAGTGTGTCCTAAAAAAGCAAGGTGCTGATCTTGAAGGCATTCATGGTCTTCCACGAGCTCCCTGGGATGGCGTAGTAGGGCAGGAAGCGTCTCCCGGATATTGTGTTCACGGGGCGGTGACGTTTCCTACTTGGCATCGGCCTTACGTGGCACTCTTTGAGGTTTGTTAGCCACCTCCCACGCTCGGCTTGAAATCAACAGAGAACTACATAGCTAACAACTCGTGATCGCTCTAGCAAATTCTCTGGACGCATGCTCAGAGCATTGCACAAGACTATCCACTTGGGCAGCGAGACTCATATGTTACAGCGGCGCAGAGTCTCCGAATGCCATATTGGGACGCGTTTAACAGCCCGACTTTACCTCTTGCTGCTTCGTTACCCACCATCACTGTGAATGGTCCCAACGGAACTCGGACTTTTGATAATCCACTTTATAAATACACGTTTCATGCAGACGAAGGAGGAAACCGCTTTCCAGCTGATAATTGGGTCAGAGAGACGTGAGATCCGTCCCATGGTATTCTTGCTGACATGCAGTCTAGCTATCGCAATTCCCTTGGACAGTCCGTCATTGGGACTCGGCAAACCAACAAAGCAACATAATAGAAGTGAATGCAGAGCTCGAACATCAGTACGATGCAGTGCTCCCACTTATTTACAAGCTTTTCGCTTCTGAAACTGACTACACCAAAATGTCTTGCACCACTTCAAGTGGGAACAGTATTGAGAATGTCCACAATTTGGTGCACAATGCGGTGGGCGGGAATGGACATATGACTGACACTGTGATAGCTGCGTTCGACCCCATTTTTTGGCTTCATCATACCAATGTAGACCGACTGTTCGCAATGTGGCAAGCCATCAATCCTCAATCATATGTTGTTCCAACCACTAATACCGTTGGAAACTATGCAGTGCCGAAGGGTTTTGTTGATACTGCAGATAGTAGTTTGCTGCCGTTCCATTCCGATAATGGAACCCGATTCTGGTCGTCGAACGACGTTCGCTCGATACGGACGTTTGGCTATGCCTATCAAGATGTCATGGACTGGAATACAAACCAAAGCACACTTGCCGGTGATGTTCGAGCCAATGTCAATCGACTATACGCTCCTGCTGTTAGCACCAGACAGCCAAGGAGATTTAGCTCTGGAAGTAACACAGAACCGCCCGGTGCGCACCCTGAATCCTCGCATATGACCAGCACATTGAGAAGCAACAAAACCGAGCGACAGTGGAGCATTACAGTCCAAGTGCGGAGATTTGCTCATCAAAGCCCTTTCCTAATTGACTTCTTCGTTGGATCCCCACCCAGCAGTCCTTCAGCCTGGTCAACTGCTGGGAATCTGGTGGGCTCCCATGCTCATTTTATTGCGTCGAATCTGGACTTGACGCACCTGGATGGGTCTCAGAGCGCCTTAAATCACGGCGAAGTTTCGCTGACTCATTGCCTCCTCGCCAATGTGCAGAGAGGTGCACTGGCAGATCTCGAACCCGATTCTGTTATACCCTTTCTGACAAAGTCCCTGAATTGGCGTGCAAGAGACATGGACGGTTGTGAGCTGGATCTTGACTCTCTGGCAGCGTTATCGATAGCCGTAGGTAGTCAAATTGTACGGCCTGCGAAGATCCCTAATGGATTTCCAACTTACGATGAGATGGAGATGTATGCAAATGTCACGGCTGGCAAACCTGGCGGATGGGAATGGAGGGCGGCCTAGGTGGCGGCTGCGAGTGGATGAGTTGGTGGTTGAGTCGCACTGCTGCTTTGGAGGGCTAAAACGAGGAACAATAAAAATGATCAAGGTGTTACTTCCGGCCAACACGCATCACTGTGCTGGCTACTAAATGTTGTGCTTGCCGTTCCATCCAAGGCGAATCATTCCACTCTATCGCTGTTTTAAGGAGGACTGTAGAAAGCATTGACCTCTTCAAAGGTGCAATCTCTGCTGACATCAAAGGCGACAGGAAGATGGCATATAATCATTGACAAAGGGCATGTGTCTCTTTGTTGGTGAAATATACTTCACACGCGACTTTCGCACTTGTGAGTTGACCATCAACCTAGACATCCCAACGGAAGCCAATCTCTTCTGGCCGGGGAAGATGTTTGTAAATAGTACAGCTCGTGTTGTTATGGCAGCAATTAGCTTAGCCAAACCAAGCTTTTGCAATCTTACTTTGCGACCCGGCTCCACTAACAAATTATTCCCTCGCCCCCACCAACGAGTTCTTTCTCCATTCCCCTTACCGATTCCCCCTTCCCAACCACCAGCTACAACCATCAGTATCACGCTCGTTCGACCGCATATTCTCCCGCAACACAGTCGTTACTTACTCTTGTTATATCAACTATTCTTATTGAAAAGCCCAGTTCGATTTTCCATTCCGCAAAGATGCGATTCATTGCCACTCTCGCTACCGGTGCAGCCTGCCTTGCCACCGCTTTTGCTCAAGTCAATATTGCATTCACATCCGTGCCAGAAGCTGTCGTTGTTGGCCAGCCAGCTAATATCACCTGGGCAGGTGGAGATGGGGTTACGGTAAGCGAAGGTCTTCTAGGTGATGGAGAAGTCAGGCCTGACATCTAAACTATAGCCTGTTACGATCACTCTGAGGAGGGGCGACCCTCAGAACCTGCAGACCATCGCTACACTCACTAGTAAGAATCTTGTTCTTTCCACAGTCTACTACAATGTGCTTATACCGTTCTAGGCACTGGCGTGGACGGTTACTTCCTTTGGACCCCCGATGCGTCCCTTGCTACTGCCAGCGACTACGCTCTTCAGATCACTCAAGGCCAATCTGACATCAATTACTCTGGCCCATTTGCGCTCATTGGAGGGACCGGCTCCTCTAGCATATCCTATTCCGGAACATCGACCTTGCCACCTGCGTCTGTGAATGCTACCATCACCTCTGTGACTACAGTAGCCTCAATTGGTACTGGTGCACCAATCTCGCGCAACACTACATTTAGCTCGCAAACTCTTACTTCCACCAGCTCCGAGACTAGCTCTCGAACCACTAGCCGTTCAGCGACCGGCTCATCGACCGCTGCTGAGACTGCTGCCACGAGCGCGCCCACCGGTGGAGCTGCTCACATGGCAAGCTCCCTTGCCCTAGTCTTCGGTGTCGTGGCTGCCATCGCATCGCTGAACTGAAGAAAGCTTGGAAAGAGTTGTTGCTTTAATTTCACCCTTTCGACTTGTTTCGAATCGCGGCGCGGCACCAAGCCTTCCTGCCTGATTTGGCTGTTGCTTTTCATTGCCTTTCCTTGACGATATTGATAAGTTCATAGCATGACATTTGTACATTTGTATAGTCACGGACCTTCATGTATCTAATCTTATAGCCTAATTCTGGACGGGATGAAAACGAAATCACAAGCATGTGGCTTGAGCTGAACTGTTGATCCCTTTGCTTGAATCTCTTGCCCCATAACCGTGCAGATAGAAAGGCGACATGACCCCCTTCAGTACTCTGTTGACCTGCTAAACCCTCTAACCTAGCAGAGGGCACGTAGCTTCCTTCCTGATAGTGATGCTAGTTCTTCACGAGACATCAACATTGCATGTTGAGACAGTCCAGCTTCCATGTCTTCAGTTACCAGTACTACAGGGGGCAGGAGTAATGTTAGTCTGGTGCTAGGAGCAACTAGTTCTCGTTACGAAGATACAATGTTATGATTCGTAACTGCAAGGCTTGTTCTGTGTGCATCCATTCTGATGGGTCAGATCATTACATCTAACTTCTTTTGAACGTAGCTGTTCTGTATACATTGGGTGTGCAAGTAAATATGCTAGCGCTAAACTAACAGTACCTCAGGCCTCCCCCGTAGTACGTATGCACAGCCCATTCAGTACTAGCGGTCCCCATTGAAAGCGCTAGCAATCGGAGTTGAGCTGTCATTGCATATTCACAAATAAAGTTGCTGCAGGCCCGTTCCTGCAGTGGATTTTGTCAATACACTATGTGCTCCTGAAACGTGCCTGCAGCGGATTTGTTGATACCCTGTGTGCTACTGATGGTACTCCCTGTACATAATATCCGCTGCTTCGTCTGTTTCAACTGAATTGAAAGAAGATTGAGCAATTGCTTCGTGCTGCACTTACTTTCTGTGCCCGCTCTGCCGTTCACCAGACCTCCATCTAGGCGCCGCTTATTCATTTCGATCACTAAAATCGACCAGCAGGCTTGCCTCAACCTTCCTAAGCTCCCGTTACCAGATGAGGATATGAAAAGTTGTCCAAACACCAAATCTGCGTTGCCGAGAGATTTGTTGTGCATAAGAGCCTGGCGGCTTGATACGTTGAATGGTACGCATGCAGCTTTCTTACACTTGTCACAACAATCATGCAGATCACTACACGTGTCAAGAGACTCTTTGTTGGCCACAAAGAACCCGAACTCACTTGTATTTCCTCTACAGAAGCCCCGAGACTCGCCTTAACCGATGTGGAGACGAGGATGAACATGGGTGCTCTTTTCAAAGACCATCCTTCGTCCGAACTGCTACCAAATGGCGTACCGAGGATGCACAGTTCTCCGGTGTTGTCAACAGGTTGGTGGGCCATTTCTGCTCCGAGGAATTGGAGCGTGGATATAGGAACCAAATTAAGATTTCATTTTAGGCCTCATCTCACCACCTGCAGCTTCTCCTTCCCCCGAGCCAGCAACCTGGTCATCTGCAGTTGGACATGCAAGCACAGGGAAATCAGGCCGCGTTATTGAGCGACTACAAGGCGAAATCGACCGCCTGAACCGTGATCTCCAGCTTCTTAAGGCACGATTAGACGACTCAGAAAAGGCTAGAGAGACATTGACCACGCACAATTCATACCTACAAGACCGCAACAGTAACTACGAGCAGTCCCAGGAAGCAAATTTGAGACAAACGCAAAGGAAAGACAGGATGATTGACGAGTTAAGAGAAAATCTGCTGAGGGAAAAGCTACGGGTAGCTGCTGCTGAACAAACGGCCAAAGAAGCCACTGCCAACGAGGAACAGTGGAGACTTGAAGCGAGTCAGTCACGCTCCCTGGCTTTTCAGAAGGAGACAGAGTATGCTACGATTGCCACGTGCCGGAATTTGGAGAATGAGCGCCATCAAGGATCTTTACAGCGGTTGCAGGATAGCTTCCAAGCTCTGCTGAGGGAGCGCACAGAAGCCCAAGGGAGCTACGCCAGGCTCCAAGTCATCGCTGAGCAGCAGAACCAGACCATTGCCCAATTGGAGGAACTGAACAGCAAGACCAACACCAACTTCAAAGCTTACAGGTCGGAGGTGGATGAAGCAATTGCCAACTTGAGAAGGCATGTCAGCGCAAATGATAGTAACGTGGTTGCGAAGCTCGAGGAGATGACTCGGGTGACCGATCAAATGAAGTGGGTAATGGCGGTAGATTGCAATGTCAGATGTCCAAGTTTCACCGCTCCCAAAAATGCACCAATTTGACAGTTCATGGCGATGTATAGGGAGATGGTTGCACGAGCTCACGAAATTAGCATAGCGAAATGGCGCTGATCGAGGATCGACAATGCCAATATCGGGCACTTGAATTACACCTGTCTGCTTATCGCTTCTTCTAGCTTTCTTCCATGCTTTCATCGCAATCGTCCACAGCCTAGGCAGTTGTTGGCGAGCGGAAACCACCAATGCGTACATATACACCCAAGCGCTGTTCTACTTCTACTCATCTTGTTACCGGTCTGTAGCCTTTTGGTGAGACTAACTGACATCCCCTCCTTGTAACTCATCACCCTGCCAACTTGAAATTGAGCCCTCAATTGAAGTGCTCACCAATCCTCTTGGCAACCTGAAACCTCAATGTGAATCACAGGCAATTTGTTGTTTGCTATTCGAGCCTCGCCATTCGACTCTCAATAAATATCAGCTCACCATACGTATACGGTACTACCCTCATCGTAGGAGCCAGTGTAAAATGCGGCCTAACTTAGTGCTCTACGGATCTGAGGGCAGTATGTCATGCCACTAAGAAGGGATTTCTGACCACAATCATCTTGTTCTGGGACTCTAATCGATTTCCTACGCAAGAAGTCAATTTGCCAAGTGGCGAACAGAGATTATCAGCTGTACTTAATCGTTCAAGCCGGGGAGCTAGGAGTCAATTCTGCTCAAACGAAGTGGTCAGCTTCTTCTGAAGGGCTGTTGCTCACTTTCTGTGCTTGATTACCACAATGTGCAAGAAGATACCTTGATGAAAAGCTAAGTTGACTAACAAGAACATGCTGAAAGACGTGTGTGTATGTTTGTTTGAGTAGAAGTCACTGTGCGGAATTTTCAGAAGGGTGAAGATCTGCTCATCCATTCACATTTACAAGGTCGTCACGGTCACGGTCACGGTCACGGTCACCGATCATCCCTCTCAAGCACAACAGTATCGCCAGTAACAAACCTCCCAGCACCTCGATTGCTGCGGCTTCACCTATACAGATCTACATCAGTCGAAACTATCCCAACAACGCGTCTTGATCTGCTTGTTCATAAATTCAGGAGATCACCCACTCCCAGTCAAGAACCGTTCATGAATGTCGACAGGCCAACATTATGGCTTCCTTGAAAAAGTCCTTTTTCGGGTCTCTGTTTACATTCCAGCCCACTGCGGTAAGTCTTTGATACCAAACCTGGGTTCCGTATGAATATGGGTTGACAAGATTTCTGTAGGTCGAGGAAGTGCGTAATATATTCCAGGAGGTATTCGCTCGGTGTGCACAGTCAACCTCATAATATCAGCCAGAACTAAGTCTCTCAAAGCAATGGCCTTGCAGGGAATGCTCCCCTTGTGAGCTACGATCAAGAGACGTTTGTTAGCAATATCGCCACCTCATCTGGAGTAAGGAATGCTAATCATGACCTCGACAGTCTTTTTCATTCCAATGTGAACGAAGCGAAACCAGGCTTAGAGAGCTATTCAGCAAGCTCCTGAGAGACTACATTAACGACCATCAGGCGGAGGAGGATCTGTTAGAGGTATATCCAGTGGGTCGTTGGGTGTCGTACTCGCTAACCTGATAGAATCAACGGATCACTCCTTTGAAAGGAACTGTGATTGACGACCCCGTTACGTCGAGTGACCTATTCTCACTTGATAACGACGACGGTCTCGTCCTTTTTTCAGACGAGGAAGAGGGCGAGGAAGAGGGCGAGGAAGAGGGGAAGCTGCTTGAAACAATAGGCTATCAGACGGCGGTCTGGGAACCGACAAAGGGCAATGTGGGACTACTGACTTTTGATGTCGTGAAGGCTCTGTCCGACCACACAGGCAGCACGTTCTATATTGATTCTCACCGCAACGAAGCTCGTCTTTCTGATGGCAACTTGACAGACGCGCTATTCCGGCTAAACGCTGTGGAACCAGTATTGGTAAGCGAGAGTCTAGCTTACACAGAGCATCGTCTTGACCTTTCTAGGCGTACCTCTATCGTCCCGCAAATGCCCACGTCCTGATGCTGTATGCCGCTACCGACCACACACGAATTGATTTCACCATACCCTCCGACAATGCCCTCCGTCGGATAATCGTCGATCCAGACGTCAAGCCTGTTGGAACTTGGCTGGGCAATAAACATATCGAACAGCTATCTACATACATAAAGGGCGCCAAGGCAGACCAAGCGTTCATCACGCCGCCTAACTTGACAACTACAACTTCATGCAGCGTTAATATCGCAACCTCAAGTGTCTGGTCAGATTTTGTTTTCACGCAAATTGGCGATGTGGGCAACCAAGCTTCAATAGGCGACGCGTCTGGCTTTGACAGGGCCGAAAAGCTTGACCCTCTTCCAGTCAGCCACTATATGACCGAAACAGAGTCTCACATGATTGCGCAATGGGCTGGACATGTTGTTGAGGCAGCTGATCCCCATGAACAGATTCCCACAACACCCATCGTTGAAGGGCAGAAGAGAGTGGGCCGGACCAGGGTCGTCAAGCAAGTGGAAGATGACGAGGATGAAGATACCGAACGAGACGTACCGTTAGCCATACCTTCTCTCGCCCCAAAGTCAATGAATGATGCCTTGAATTCTCATTTTAATGCACAAAAGGCAAAAGTTGGCCGAACAAGGGTCAAGAGGATAGATGAGGATGAAGATGAAGATGATGAGGAGCTTCAGAACAACACCTTGACTAATCATGCCGAACAGCAAGACAGTTGGACTTATACACCTTTGCCAGAACCAAAAGGATTTGGCTATTCCAGCCTGCCGTCGAAGAGGAGATTAGGCAGACAGCGAGTGGTGAAAGTGGATAGCGATGACGAGATCGAAGACAATGGGTCAACCTGGGCCTCCCGCAAAGAACAGCAGTCTCGCAACGACGACAAGTCTGCTCTAAAGTCCTCCCATGTAAATCCTGATGAAGCTGGCATAACCAATGGATGGGGCGAAACTGTTTGTCCACAGATGTCTGGCGGCTGGGGTGAAAATGTTCATTCCGAGGTCTCTAATGGCTGGGATGACACTGTCTACCCGGAAATATCCTCTTTTGGTGCTACAGATGGTTCTTTTGGAACAAAGCAGGCGTCAGATGATGGGCTGGACCAAAGAACCTTGCAAAAAAATTCTGTTTCTGACCGAAACTCGGACAGAAAACCCGATATGGCCACAGACGTGTATTACAGTTTTGCTGCTGAGACCTCTGGGAGCAACCGCGGAAAAGACACGCTAGGAAAAAGACGAGGTAGAGGTAGCAGAGGACAAGGTCCGGGACACCATAGGGGTGCTTCCTCAACACAGGCTGCGATGCCGCATGTCCATGATCCGCGCGGGATTAGCAACTTTCCGCCAACGCCGAAACAACCATACCGGGGCCAGTCACACAATCGCGGTAGGCGAGCTTCAAGGGGCACTACGCCCTCTGGCCAAGGACGTGGCATAGGCAACCAGGCTCGCCACGGTGGTAACAGGTTCGGTACGTTAGCTGCTGAAACCCTTGTTGACATTGCTGAGTCGGAGGTTGTCGACCAACACGCCATACCATCACCCCCCGGATTTGAACATCAACCTCATATAGAAGGTGATACTGTGCGAGGCGTGCGCTCTCAGAGTAATATCAGTGACGCACCGTCACATCCGGATCTGATCGATGTAACAACACCAGAAGCGAAAAAGGGCACTCATGTGGCTCCGCCTCCTGGCTTCGACTCCTTCAGCAACGCCGGGACAGAAACTAGGACTCATAATCAGCGCAATCGTTTCTCTGCACCTCGTTCCGGAAGCCCTCTAGATAGCGTGGGTACTCAGAGTGTCCTTTCGGTGGCGAACGCTGGGCCGTTTTATGTCAACACCTCAAACCCAGGCATGGACTTGATGGAGATGTCACGAAGACGCCTAGAGCAATTGCATAGAGCTCGTGGTGAAGAAGGGCTGCTCGGAAACGAGACCGAGAACCTTCAAGCTGTTGACGAGTCGAGTACTCGCACCTACCATAGGACGATGAAGCAGCAGGCCAAGAAGCCCGCCACGAAGAAGGAGGCTGATCAAAAAAAGGCAGCAGCACTGCAAGATGCCTGGGGTTCTGGTTCTGGTCCTGGTCCTGGATCCGGCAAATCAAAAGCTAGCGATTCTACTGCAGCACGTTCCTCTCGTAAAACAGAGACTTCCGACATGTCCGCCGCGAAGAAGAGGCTGCTTCGGGGGCAAGAAGCGATGGCCAACACCCAGTCTACGAGCATTAGTGAAGAGCAGATAACGCTGCAGAATGAGCTCTTTGTAGACGCTCTAAAGCCTGTCTTTACTGCTGCAAGGGCTTTTCCCGGATCTCTCAATTTCGAGGTCCAGCTTGGCCAGTTCCTTTCACCGAGTCCTGAAGGGGCATATCAAGCGAAATGTGTGACTGTCAATCAATGGCACAAACTTTATGACTCCACATCTGGTCGGTTGGCCAGTGCAGCGACCTTCACCAATATCTTGACGCGCAATGGTGCGGATATTGACCACATTCTCAGGTTGAAGATGGCTCAAAGTGGCCGTACAGAGTTGTTCCATCCTGACAAACCAGGTCGCTTTGGGATACGCTTTGAGTTTCATTGTCAGGGAAAGAACAACGACGAGTTCAAGCTGGTGTTCAATTCTCGAGGTGAATATGAGATTGAGCGCCCATTTCGAAAGATTGGTCAAGTTAATATCCATGTGCCTGGGCAAATATGGGATGCTGCTGGCTTGCTTACCGGGTCCACTCGTTTCCCAGAAGAGCAGATACTTAAGGATGCCGCTGACGAAATGGCCCGGTCAATCTACATTCCTGGAGGACGCAAGGAGATTGAGATCTCATACCGCCTGCCATCGAGCAATGAATTCGCTGTCAAAAGAGTAGTCATGAGGCGTGTCTCCCGCCACACATGCGCCCTTACGGACAAGCACGATGTGCAACTCCAAATTACAGAGGTGCAAAGATTGTTCGTCGAACGCAGATCTGACGGCATCTATCTCGCCTACGCCTCCAAATACGAAAAGATGGTGGACCAAATGATGATCCATTTCGAAGTCTCGCTCATCTCCGAGAGTATCGAGCACGCCATGTCTGCCAATGCCCACCTCACCGTCGGCGATATCACCAGCGCATGGACAGAAGATTCCCTCCTCCAAAAATGGCGAACCAGGGCCCTCCTGGAAGTCACTCACATGGTCGTCAGCAAGATGGACGGCGTCGGGTTCCACAACGTCGGTTCAGCCGTCTTCTTCCTGGGACAAGACAGCGTGCTAGGCGGTGGCTCGGCCGTGGCAATCGGCAGTGCGATGCCGTCGCAGCAGCAGCAGCCGAACCAGCAGGTGATGACGAAACTTGCGACGCAGAACACGCAGCAGGCGGCCATCATCAATGTTCCGGGCGTGAGGGGTGGGCTGGCTCTGCCGGTTGAACAGGGTTACGCGCTCGGTTATGGGGGTGCGAGGATTCCAATCCCCGGCCATGTGGAGCCAGATGCTGTGGTGCCGGATGACAGCGCGAGTCAGGCTCCGGAGAGAGGGAAGGTGGACGGTCAACAGCTCGTGCCCGGCTTCTGGTGAATGCGTGAATGGATTGAGGTATGGCGGAACCTGGAGGGTCATGGATAGGCTATGGAAAGTGAAGAGCTGACGGATGAGGGTCAGGATGAGCTGGGTGCTTCACCACGCGCACTGTCAGGTATTTGATAACTTTGAAGCATTGAAGTGTCAGACAATGAGCTTCATACTACGAGTACCAGAGACAGGGTTGTTACATAGTCTACGCTGGTTTAAGCTGCATCCAGCTTTGACTGACGGAGTTCCCTCCCAAGAGATATCATACAGGCTTTCCCTGCCGTGGTACCACCACCCCTCCTGCGTACTGCCCAATGCAAAGCGCAGGGCGCTTGCTCGTGTTGTTTCTCAGGGTTGTAGGATCGCCTACTAGGCAGCAATAATACAAGCCCTTTATGACATTCGGACGTCCGCCTGATTAAGCTCCGTCGAGCTAGAAAGTCGTCCTTGATCATACGTGTGTGTAAAGGGCTTGACTCTGCTGATTTTGCTTTCCCACTCTCATATCCAAGGAGCCCGGTCGCTGCGTCTGGAGTGTCGTGGCAGCAACGAGTTAAACTTACATGTAGGGCGAGAGTGAACGTGAGCCGTAAGTAGCACCCTAGGAGATGAGATTGCGACGACCTTCTGCTTGCCGTAATCGTGGGAATGGGTTTGTGCCCGGATGATTTAGAGGCGCGGAACAGAGAAAAGGAAAAGGAAAGGGTGATATGGCGATGTATGGAGATTTGGGAGTTTGGAATGCAGGTGTGTAATGCGTTTGTTCGGACAATTTGGCGTGTGCTGTCCTAATTGTTTGGAGGGGTTGTTTTCGTGTCTTCGTGGTTGCTGTTCTGTGGGGTTTGTCGTCTCGGTTTTCGTGCTTATTAGAGATTGGTGCTTGTGCCAGGTGTGGTCTCCGGACCTCCGCGCTCTCATGGTTTTAGGTTCTTTCAATCTGATGATATAAGGTTGAAAGGCATCCTCGGCACCAAAATAACTCCTGCTCCTTGCTATCCGTTCCTTCTGGCTGAGTCTTTACCGCTATGCTTCCCTCACGCCCCTAAAACCCCCTTCAAAATCCAAATCTCCCCATTTCCCGCCTTGGATATCACTTCATCAACCTCCACGCCTTGTGGCATGATGATTCTCTTCTTTCCCTCCTCTTCATCATTGTCCTTCTCCTCCCACCACACCTCCCTCCCTCCCCCCCGCCCCCCACGGACTCTGGGGGACGACATGCCTCTCAACGAACGACTTTAAGTTCCCCTTTGCCCTCTCCTCCCCACCCTGCCCATCGTAGGCCCGCTCCCCGAACGTCGCGTAGTCGTTACTATCTTCCCATGGTTTATGCTCGAGGGATTGGAGAGCGGAGTTTAGGGGGGCGAGGATGGTGAAGCTGGTGGGGTTTTGGTCGTTGTGGTGATTGTTGTTGTGGGAGGAGAGGAGGGTAGGGAGATTGGGGTGGTCGCGGAGGAGAGAGGAGAAGATGTTTATGCGCCGGGTCAAGGGGAGGGTGTCGTAGAGGCTGGGTTTATGGCGGTCTGACATGGTGCTGTCGTCTTCGGCGTCGTTGGAGGGGATGAGGGGTATGATGGGGGCTTGGATGTTGTCTTGTATCCGTATCGGGTTGAGAGAGGATGGAGCCTGCCGGAAGAGGTTTGGGAGGACGAGTCTGCAGGTTGAGGTCTGAGCTAGGGTTGTGAAGAGTAGTGCACAGCCAGAGTTAGATATCTGCATCTCGGCAGCGTCGAGTCGAGGTAAGGAAGAGATGGATGGATGGAATGATCAATGGTTGTGTTGTGTGAATGGGAGGCCGTCATAACATCAACGTCATAGTTTGGCAAGCAGTGGCGCTAGCACCAATCGGGTTATAGTGCTTCGCGGTGCGGAGCAACGCGACTGGAATTGGAAGTTCATGATACAGTGGTACATAATTCACAGGTGGCATACAAGCTTCCTGACTTCGCCGTGCTACTCACCTCTCCATTACCTAGTCGCCTCTCTCAACAATTCTCACTTGTTCTTCACAACAATGTCTGTCTGGCAGGTCCCAAGATCCATCTATGATGCTGATGTTGCACAGGGAGACGTTTGAGAATATCTATCTCGACCTTTCGAAACAGTCCGGCAAGTGCAGGTTTGCAGAAAGTGGATTGGGTTGGAAGCCCAGCGGTGGCGGTGACACATTCACACTCGATGCCGGCCAAATAGACGGGGCGCAATGGAGCAGAGCATCAAAAGGCCACGAACTAAAGATTCTATCAAGAAATGTTGGAGTGATACAGCTTGATGGTTTTGAGCAGGAGGTGAGCATGAAGATATTTGCAAGATTAGTGGAGTCGCAGGCTGACTAGAGTAGGACTTCGATCGAGCCAGCAAATGCTTCAGAATCTGGTACGGAGTCAACCTAGAAAACAGGGAGCACGCTCTACGAGGCTGGAATTGGGGAAAAGCAGAATTCGGAAAGGCGGAACTGGCTTTCAACGTCCAGAATCGACCTGCTTTCGAAATACCTTACTCCGAAATCTCCAATACGAATCTTGCGGGAAAGAATGAAGTGGCAGTGGAGTTCAACCTGGGCGCTGAGCCAATTACGAATGGAGTGAACGGACACAAAGAGGGCAGTACCCGAAATCGAGGCCGGAAAGCTGCAGCTGGACGAGACGAGCTTGTAGAAATGCGCTTTTACATTCCGGGCACTGTCGCAAAGAAGGAGAAGACCGAGGATGCGGACAGTGGCGCAGACGATCAGGAGGAAGACGCTGAAGAGACCAATGCTGCAAACCAGTTTTATGAGACGCTGATTGATAAAGCCGAAATTGGCGAAGTGGCGGGTGACACATATGCAACCTTCTTGGATGTTTTGCATCTTACTCCCAGGTTGGCCACACTGAGGTTCTGCCTTGCGATCCGAGGCTGATCTGTTCACAGAGGGCGATTCGACATCGATATGTACGAAAGCTCATTTCGATTACGAGGCAAAACATACGACTACAAGATCCAATATCAATCCATCAAGAAATTCTTTATTCTCCCCAAGAATGACGAAACCCACACTCTTATCACTATGGGCCTGGACCCACCTTTACGACAGGGTCAAACTCGATATCCGTTTATTGTCATGCAATTGAAGAACGACGAAGAGGTCAGCATCGATCTGAACATGACAGAGTATGATTTCACTTCCCTCGACTAAATATGTTATTATGTTAATGCTTCAGCAGAGAACAAATACAAAGCGGCCAGTACAAGGGTCTAGAACCACATTACGAAGCCCCCATAACCCAAGTCATCTCGCGTGTCTTCAAAGGTCTCTCTGGGAAGAAGATCATCACACCCTCAAAAGACTTCGTAAGGTCAGTTACAGAAAGCTCTCCCCTTTCTCTATCACAGCAACCCGGCCACTAACTGCTCTATTCTATCTGACAGCCACCACAACATGAACGGCATCAAATGCTCCATCAAAGCCAACGAAGGCCTCCTCTTCTGCCTCGACAAGTCCTTCATGTTCGTCCCCAAACCAGCAACCTACATCCAAATCGAAAACATCGCCATCATCACCATGTCAAGAGTTGGAGGTGCCATCTCGGCAAGCAGAACCTTCGACATCACCATCACATTAAAATCCGGGCAAGGTGAACATCAATTTAGTAACATCAATCGGTAAGCCAATGATCCCTCCCAAATCCACTAATATCGCAGAGGAAGCAAAGAAACCCACTGACACACATCTCTTCGCGCTAGTGAGGAACAACAACCGCTCGAGACCTTCTTCGCCGCCAAATCCATCAAGTTCAAGAACGAAATGCTCGACGACTCGGCCACCCTGCTCGCCGCCGCCCTGGACCGAGAAGACCTGGCCTCCTCCTCCGACGACAACGCCGGCAACCACAACAACGCTGCGAATGGGAACCAGGTGCGGGGGAGCGCGGACGAGGATGAGGAGAGTGTCGACGAGGACTTTCAGGCCGACTCGGAATCCGACGTCGCGGAGGAATATGACAGTGCGCATGAGAGCGAGGGCAGTGGGAGTGAGGATGATGAGGAGGGGAGTGGTGGTGGCAAAAAGGGAGGGAGGGGGGGTGGCGATGAGGAGATGGACGATGCGGATGCGGATGCGGAGGGGGTTAGTGATGAGGAGGAGGAGAGGAGGCCGAAGAAGAAGTCGAAATCTTAGTTCTAACTAACTAGCTTTTACGTCTTGGCTAAGTGCTAAGTTAGATTGATTGATTGAGAGGATGTGTGTTTATGAATGATATTGCATCAAGACACTTCGGGAAAACCCGTCAAGAACTTAGCTGCAGTATGAATCGGATCGATTTGAATTGCTAAGCACTAAGCGCTACCTATCACAGCGGTGAAGATCGTTTAAAGCCTGAGGACTGAATGTTGAAGAGAGAAAGAAAAAGTAAACACTCAACGCCGTCTGCTGCAGAATCGCTACTGGAGGCACGCTCCGGTCATACCACATCCCAAATAGAAAAAAAACTGAAACGAGTTTGCTGCTTTCCCGCATCTCCAAGTGCCACTTCACTAACCACACCGCTTGGGCGTGTAGGCTGCTTCTTGTTGAAGTATCTTGTGCCCCGTACTGAAGCCGGAGACTCGTTGACCTGATTCGTCGTTCTCCAGCAAAGTCAACGGTAGACAGAGCAGATTGGTCCCAAGGCGAAGAGACGAGTGGCCTGCCCCGCCTTTTGGTGACGAATAGCGAATGCGCGGCTGGTCTGGAAGTTGGAACTTGTACGACTGAGTGATGCTGTGAATCCGGCCTGGGTGACAGGTACTAGTACGACAAGAGAAAGGGAATGCTTTGGCGGGGAATTGACATGGATCGATTGATGTTTGGCTTTCGAAGATGGTGAGCCTAGTCGGCTGTGGGCCGCGGGCCGCGTGCAGGATTGGTAGATCGTAGTTTCTTGTGTAGGCTCCTTTGTTCGTGCTCCGACCCTGTACTTTAGGGCTTGGTAAGGGATAGAGGATGGAATGATAGGCGAGACTGCCTCCTTAGTTCGTGTTGGATACGAGCAGATGAAGTGTGATTCGTTGCCTGTTGCCCTGAGAGTCCCCCAACCGACCTTCGTCTCCGTCTGAGGGTGTGTTAGATGGTTGTCGCTCCTGGGAGATTGGCGTGTTCCCAGACTGTAGTGTCGCTGAGTCCGCCGGACACTGCGAACCTCATCAGCTTTCCAGTGGAAGCTTACACCGACCAAGGAGGAAGGGGTATTGAGCCCTCAACGCTGCGCTCTCTTCGATATATCCATTTTCGACGAGAAAGTCATCGAACGCGGATGTTGCAACCTGGGTCTCAACGCTGTCTGGACCATATGCAGCACAAACCAATTCAATATACCCCCTATACATGGCCTGCCCCTCGTCGATCCTCCCTGTGGCCTTTAGTATTCTCCCCAGGCCAAACAGACAAACGTCTAAATAATGCCACCGGGACAGTAATTTAGAAGGTAAACCATTCGCCAAAATATCACACCCAGCCCCTTCTAAGAGCTCCAGACATCTTCTATATTCAACTTCCGCTTCGATAAATTTGTGCTGCTTGCGTAACAAGATCGCTTTTACAAGGATATAGTCCACATTCTGCCCTTCTATCTCCTCCTCTGGACTACACACCGCCTCTAAATAGTCTTGCCCTTCTTGTACCCACCCTCTCCCCCTCAGCCCATCAATGTAAAACAAGCGCAGGTACAAAAGCATGCCAGGAATTTTTAGGACATCAAAGAACTTGCTGAAGCTGTCAGTAACGACACGCCAGGCAAACATTTTTCCATTCGTGGATGAAATTGTGCACAAAGAGTTGAGAATTACTAAGAGAGGGTGTGCACTACCAAGAACAGTCGTGCCCATGCTGAGAATAAATTGTCGTACATGTCTAGAAAAGTCAGATTCGCCTCTTGTCCTGTTTTCGAAAACACAGATAAGGCACGGTAAGAGTATAGGTGTCTGCTGCTTGAAGAAGGTCTCCAAAAGGTCAAACGCTTCGCTAACTGTTGTAAATGCTAATTGAGCGAAACCAGACTGCAAGGCGCAAAATGCATCTGTTATGTGTTTAATCATGGACAAAGGGTCCACAACGCGGTCCCAAGCTTCCTCATTTTTCGTCGAAACCGAGGCTTGTGTAGGACGTCCATTAAGGGCTGCGATGGTCAATTCTGGCTTGAAGTAGTAGGTACCCAGCCCAGTTGTGAAATATTCCTTCAAATAGACTTCATTGGTCCATATGATCAACTCTGCAGTCCGCATATCACCATGGATTGCGATGGGCCGAGCCGGCGGAGAAGGTGTTCGAAACAACGACTGTAGGTTGTATGTTTCTGATTCTGCACCGCTACTGACATCAACCAGTGACGTCATACGTCGCTGCCCTCCTCGACGTACCACTGCTTCCAAGCCGCTAGTCGGGACTTTGTTCTCTTTGCAATAACGTAGAAGTCGATGCATCTGGACCGGGCGGCCCTTGAAAAGGGGCGGGTTTGGTCTCCTTTTCTGGCGGACTTTTCGAATCAAAGTTGCTTTCTCGGCCTTTTTCAAATTCTTGTGGAGGTTCCAGGCATTTATGCGCCCTTTGTACATGCGCTCACTGATATCATTTAGTAAATCATATGGGAGGGTGTTAATGCTGTTAGCTTACGTCGCTACGAAATCATAATTTTTCTCGAGTATGGTCTTAACATCTTTTAAAGCTCTGTTATCCGTGCTGTACAGCTTCGTGAAGATCGGCTTGATGTTTTCCCAGTCTTGAGTGCTTGGGTACTTGGGCCGTTCGGCAGCTATCACACTTGGCTCGCGTGATCGATATACCAATGTGCTTTCGTTCCACGATTGAGCATCCGGCAAGCTATCAACTGTGTCGTGAGCATTTTGATGAAGCTGGTTTAGATTAAGTTCCTGCTGTATGAATGCCGGCTCGACGTTGTGCCAGTCATGGTGGTTAGGGACGCTGGGCTGTTCAGGAGCTACTACATTCTGCTTGCGGGACTGTAATGCCCAATTGCTGGCTTTCAAGGTCTCGTTGTATACCTTGCAAGAAAGGGTGTTGTAATCATCTAGGGGGAGATTGCTCAAAGCTAGTCTCTCATGGGTGGAACATGGTGCTGAGGGTCCTGCGACTTCCATGGCGATAGTCCAAGAAAAGATTTATACAGTGAGTTGATACAGAAACCTATGAGTAGCCCCTGCGGGCGCCTCTCCAGGGTATAAGTAGCCATGTGCTCCCTCTTTTATAGAATGCCCACGAAATGGTCAATGAGACTCAAGATAGTTACAGATGCCCTGTCATTGGTTGCCTCCGAAGCTCACACCTCATGCAGTCACCGGGGCCTAAAGTCGCACTAAGCGCCTTTAGGGCTTTCTCTCAGAGAGAGGTCTAAGCCAGTTTTATCCCTGTATGACAGGACAACAGCCCTCTGGCCCCAAAATGGGGCTTTTGTCCTGTCATACACGGATACTGCGCTTCAATCACCAGCGCAGAAGCCAACATTGGCAGTCGAACGATTTTAGTTATCCTGTCTCGAACAATGGGCGCAACTCATCGCATCGAACAAGGATGTAGAATACAGAGGATGCTGCCATTTGGAGAACAGGAAGCTGAAAATGGGTCCATCAGGGATAGGTTTTTGGCCCTCCGGCGCTTCGGCCCTTCGGGGATAGCACTACTACGGCTACAGGCCTAATTTTTGCACCCCCCCCTCCCCCTGGTCAAAATATTTTACAAACATGTTTTTTACATGCCCCACTCTGTCAGCATCCCTGTCAGCATCTCTGCACCATCTTGCAGGAATTTTGCTCATCCTGCAAATTCTGCTCATTCTACTCCGTACGAATTTTACTAATTCTGTATAGATGTTGATAAGCCCAGATAGCTACAGTACCCGGTCAAAAGTTCTCGCTCATTTCGCGTTTTTCGCGTTTTTTCGCGTTTGCCCCACCACAACGCCCCTACTTTATCAACGAATTATGCCTCAACGCAGGCCATTAAGCGAAATCGATGCTAATAGGCCTCGAGGCCCGGATTTGACGCCTATTCAGAGAGCTGAAATAGTCGGTGCAGTCAAATGTGGTGTAAAATATGCAGATATTGGCCGGATCCTCAAAGGAGTGGGATCCTACATGTATTGTTGAATGATATCAATGACGTAAAGGTTGGATGTTTTAGGGTTGTTTTTATAGTGATATAAAAGGTCCTGGTATCTTTTGGGAAAAAGAATAGGGGAATATTAAAGAAGCATTATATCGAGAGCATATCATCCCTGTTATTGATAATTGGATTCAAACAAACGGAGGAGATTTGACATTTATACAAGATTCTGCTCCTGCTCATGCTGCTAGAGGCACTATTCGAGATCTTCGTCAACGTGGCATAGAATGTGTACAATGGCCTGCATATTCGCCTGATTTGAATCCAATTGAGATGATATGGAATTGGATGAAGGATTGGATACAAGAGCGCTATAGAGATACTCTACGCAAGTACGATGAGCTACGTGCAGCTATTAATGCTGCATGGGATGCAGTGCCTTCTGAGTATCTTGCTGAGCTGCTTGGATCAATGAGAGAGAGATGTCAAGCAGTTATAGATGCCAATAGAATGCAAACTCGATTTTAGAAGCTAGTCCTAATTGAGTGATTTTGCTGACGTCTATACTTATTTCTGCATAGTTATTTTGTACGGATACTAGCGTTTTCACCAGGGGGGGGTTATATTATTTAGGCCTGTAGCTGTAGTAACTTACTATTGATGCACAACCTTCGTATAAGCTCTCTTAACAATACTCAGCCAACTCTTATATTGATGTACTTGATCAAACTATTGAAAGATGCTAGCAACTAGATATAACATTTATGTAAGATAATGCCCTAATTCATACAGCCAAAAAGGTTACTAAATGGTTCGAAGAACAGGGTATACCAGTGCTTGATTAGGCGCCCTATTCTCCAGATTTGAACCTAATTGAACACGTCTGGGCTTGGATGAAGCAGTGGATCAACCAGCAATATCCACACCTTAAGGACCTTGGAGAATCGCAAGCAGCCTATGATGAATTAGCTTGAGTAATCGTAGAGGCGTGGGAGGCCATGCCGCAGGAGAAAATCGACTCTCTAATCAAGTCAATGGATAACCGGGTTAATGCAGTACTACGAGCAAAAGGGTGGCACACCAGATACTAAATCAAGAGTCCTAATTAGGAAATTAGTATGGCTATAATCTTCAGACGTCAGCAAGCATTTTGAGCTATTTTTCATAAAATTCCGACAAAAGTTCATTATGTAATAGTAAATTGTATAGGATGTAGAACAATTGAGAATAGGGTGTAAAATTTGTGGGGCGAGAACTTTTGACCTAGTACTGTATAAGCGGCTGTTGATGCTTCATTAGATATTATGTCTTTTGATTACTTTAAAAAGCTGCTTTAGTAGATGTAGATGAGATAAGTAGTTACAGATGCTAATAAAATGTAGAAACTTAATTTATTCAAGAAGCTAGTCCTATCTAGGCTACTTAGTAGACGCTTATCTTAATTGATTGTAGTACGTTTCGTACAGATACTAACGTTTTCAGCAAGGGGGGGTGCAAAAATAAGGCCTACAGCTGTAGTAAGTTGCATATTTTGAACTAGAGTGCCTAGCTTATACTTAGTACCTGCTAGCTCACACCTTAATATTAACGTAGGTACTACTACTATGGCTACTGGGGTAAATATTGTACCCCCCCCTGGTCAAAATTTCTTACAAAACGCTCATTTTACATACGCATCCCTGCTAGCATCCCTATCGCTATCTACCACGAATTTTGCTCATCCTTCTACGAATTCTGCGCGTTCGATTTCTGCGCATTAGTACGAATTCTACGCGTTCGAATTCTGCGCATTCTACGAATTCTGCACGTTCGAATTCTGCGCATTAGTACGAATTCTGCGCGTTCAATTTCTGCGCATTCTACGAATTCTGCGCGTTCGAATCCTGCGCATTTTACAATGCCTCCTCCTCCTTCTACCCCTCCGAATCCCTCAAAGTCCTCTCAGACTACTCGAGATCAACGTTTACAAATCCAAACGCTGTATGACGCAGGTCATACGTATAACGAAATTCTTGACCAGCTGCTATATCTTACACGACGTCAAATTAGATATGCTATACAAAATCGATTAACACTTGAAAAGCGCTCTGGCAGACATTTAATAATTACGAATAAAGAACTTGAACAGATTATTACATAGATTTGTGTTTCTGCAGAAAATCAACGTATACTATAGGTATAAATCCCTCTTGCTATAAAGATTAATATTAGATAGTACATTATTTGAAATGCTTTACAAAGAGCAGGATTCTTATGTTGAATCATATATTATAAACCCTTTATTTTAAAGAAGAATAAATAAGTATATTTATAATA